TCCAACCTATATAAGATCTCTCGACATATCCAAGGAGCCATTTTCGATTTCTACTTGATGCCTTTCCAGTTGTAGATAACCTGATGCGTTACGTCTAGAGACCAGGCTATTCTCACGAAAGGTTGACTATCAAAGAAGCCGTTAAATGACGGTTCCGTAGTGCTGTAAGAGCAATAAAACGATCGTCTCTAGCCGTCGTACATCGCGATCGAACAATACCTTCGCTTTGCTCAAAACCTCCGGTGGTCATAAACTGTTGTAGCCCATCGAGGATGGAAGAGCGTGGCACACCCAGGACTTGGGGTATGTAACGGACTTGTCCGTCGTTGGCCACAGCATCTGCCCAACCATGCTTTTAAGATCATCAAAGGAAACCAGTAAAACCACCAATAACTCACTGGACTTGTTGGCTCTGGAAAGGATGAAATTGAACTGATATTATCTCTTAAAAATAAACATCCAGTTATTAATGTTTTAAGTCAACTATTAATATTTATACCTAGGTATTATGGAAAATAAACAAATAAATACAAGTGGGCGGTTGTTTTTGTCTTCGGATTATTTCGCTCCTACAAGACTGCATTGTCGTCCACCTTCTTGACTCTAGTCTTGGGGGATTCCACATCGGTTTGCTGCCTAGGTATAGGTGTAGTCCTAAGTAGGTACGTAACTTGATTAAAGATGGTGAAAAGCCCAACAGACCAAATCAGTGAAGTTAGGCAGATCAAAATGATAGAAAACTACGGAAGCAACATATTATCACCCCGTATCTACAAAAGAAATCTCACACTATGATAAATAATTCCATCTGTATTATTTTTTTACATTTTGTTTAAATAAATATTATTAGAATGATCACCTGTCAAATGATGTGTTAAGTATGGTTAGAGATTTTTGGATCTCTATTAAGCTGTTTTATTTAGGCTTAATGACTTTATTATGCACTGTTTCACTTTTCCTTTATTTTTCTTGTGCTTCTTGATGATTAACGTTTCTATTATTTTTGAGTAGTGAGTCACTGTGAATATTTTTCCCTCCTGTGATTGCACAAGCACTCATAACGCTTTTTTCAATATTTTGAGTTTAATATTAATAATTTTAATGTAATTTAAAAAGCATGGTGAATTTACAAATGATCAACTCTTAGCATCTTGGGTTTGTCTTAAGTGTGCTGAGTTATATTATTTTCAAACAAAAAAAAACAATAAAATTAATTGATTATTAATGATTACTGTTAATTATATTGGGAATTTTTGAATGGATATATTTTAGAAGAAAGGAAAATCAGTTGAAGGAAATTAAACCCACAAACACTGCGACTTAGGATAGGGACGTTGACGTCAACCAGCCTTCACCGCATTTATTCATTTGTCAGTCGATCAGAAACAGGGTGTTCTAGGTCGGTTTCCACCTTTTGGCATGTTTGCAGTTAACCGCGGATTAAACCGACCTCAGTTGAACTTTTCATACGGTAAACGTCAAAAGCAAGCAGTGGTGGAAAATCGGCTAATGAAGGTCTCTATTCTAGAAACTTATAACTTGGATAAGTTTATACGGATCACTAATTCAATTCGTTTGCTTCTGATATCATGCCGGTTGAAATTCAAAACGTGATGAAATTAAACATTCGCGACTGACTCCAGGCAAACGTTAACAATGAACAATAACAAAGAAAATTCAAGGAAAGCGTAAAAAAAAACTTGGCGGTTTAAATGGAAATAAAGAACGTATTGTTTAAATTTTCACTGTGGCAATTTAAAATTGAGACGGGCTTTGGAGGCAGAGGACGCGCTTTCTCGGGGAGTTGAGAAGCTCGGCAAGTGAACAAAGGGCGGATGTTGTTTAATTGAAACATGGTTGTGTTTAATTTCATGTCGACCTTTCGACTTTTGTACAACTACAATCAGAACAGAATTTCGCATTTTATTGAAATCAGTTAAAAGCAAATGGATAAAACAGTACACGGCGGGCTTAATAAGTTGAAGGATTTTATTTTTATACAAGGAAAAGTTGGACGGTAGCGTGACATGTAATAAGTGTTGTTTAGTGTTTAAAAATAGAATATAGGGAGCCATTATTTATGTATTAAGGCGGAAAATAGTACATTCACGTACGTAATATATTAGCAATGGACTAATGGATATTGTAATCTTTGATGACTTTTTTTTATTGTCTCAAATTTTGATTAGTTTCTAGCACAAAACAAAACAAGACAANTAAAATTTAAAAACTTCAAATCCTAAATCTAATAAACTTACATTTGTACTTCTTGGACCTACGTTTCATACCAAAACTAGTGATTCAACGAAAGATGTGATTTAACTAAAGATATAAATAATATACAACATACATTAGGACAATTCTCTTGTTCACATATATCTTATCATGACTGACATCTCATATTGCTTTTTAGATATCAATTCTCCAAGAAGTAAAACCAAAATAATTTACATTACACATGTATATTTGTGTGCCGATTCTTGTGTTCTTTTCGCGCTGTATCGAACGGAACAATTTTCGAGTCAATCGGACCCTATTAAAAGAGGTTTTTTTGTTGTTAATTACTGAATGATCAACTGGTGGCGTTCTTTGTGGAAACTTGCATTGTACTTTACAGTACCTAATGTCTAAGCAATCAAGAGTTTCTTTTTTGGCAAGTAGTGCTTGTATTCAATACTCAATAAAACAAAAGAAGACCAGTAATCAAGGGGAACTTTAACTTGGGACCTCAATTAAACGCTCCAATATCCGTAGAATTCATTTCTTATAACCATATCTTTCCAACGGTTATTTTTAGGTTTGCGAGGAATATGCAGTCTCTTCCATCTTCCCAGTAAACGCTGGTGTCCCCCGAGTAGTATCCTAGGTCCTGAGCGCTAGTTTTTTTACACCAAAGATTTCCTTTTATCTCCTCTAACAGTTAAATCCACATTTGCTAATAATACAGCTATCCCAAATTGGAACACACTGTACTAATACAACTGGAACTGGAATAAAGTATGGGCATCCTTCCCTTGTAACCCTTTATTTCCAATGGTTATTTTGAGGTTTGCGAGAGATGTGCACTCTTTCCCATCTTCCCAGTGAACGCTGATGTCCCCCATGTTTGTATCCTAGGTCCTATCCTCTACTCCTTTTTTACCCATGGTATCCCTGCATCTCCTTTAACAGTTATATATGTACATATTCCTACGATGCAGATGTCCTTTTTTTCTCATTCTGATCATTGTCGATTCCCACTGAAACCTTCAAACCAACATTTTCTCGCTGGAGGGAAAGTAAATATTTAAATTTTACGATTCCATGGATCACCTTCCTCCTCTCTACATGAATATCATTCTGGCTTGAAAAACCAGACGCTCCTTGGGATTTGCTAGGTTATGTTAGCTTTGCGACGGATATGCACTCTCTTCCATCCTCCCAGTGTCTTCCTCCACGGTTGTATCCTAGGTCGTCTATTCTACTCAATTTACATCCACGATATCCTTTTTGTCTCCTCCAACTTTATATCTACATTTGTTGATAGTGCAGTACCCCAAATTTACTTGATTGAAGAGTGATATAAACGTAGAACAAAAAAATTAACTAGACGATAAGTAAATATTTATATTTTACATATAACTATTATTATTATCTCCTCTTTATATTAACAGCATCTTTCTTCCCTACGATACTGTAATTACCTTGGACTATTTCTGAGCAGGCGACTTACATGTCCCAACACTGGACCAATTGGAACTAAATAACAGTTTAGTTGACTGTCATTGGCTTTCAAAGGATTACTTTCTAGAACTTTGGGGTTCAACTAAACCCTCCAATCCAGACCTAACAATCCAAGATCTGAAAAATAGTCTGTTTTTTTCATATTCAATTTCATCATCCACACCAACCTCAATATTTCGCAATATTTTATTATTTTTTTCGTCCATAACTCGGCAAGAACCATCCCAACCATACTAACCTGGTATACAACATCCTCGTAGGTAGTAGAGCGCCTCTTATTTGAAAAAATGTGACATTGCCCAGAATCAGAGGTTGTCGTGCTGCTGTTCTTCGATGCTGTATCGTAGGACCCATCATGTTCCATCATTTTAACAAAACACCTCGCGTAAATCTTGGAAGACAAATATAATATCAAACAGTGCTGCAACTACATTTTTTTACAACCGTTGGAAAATTAATGTTAATAAAACTGAAGCAATAGTATTATTACCGTCAAAGACCGGCATACTCCGACCGATTTGAATATTCTACTCATTACATGTTGTAATTAAAGTGACGGTTTGTATTAAATCAATTAAAATAAAAAAAGTTTTCAACAAGCATAGACAATTGCCATATAAGAATTTCCAAATTTAAAGCGGGATTCTTCCTGGTCCGAGTCGGTCAAATAAATGGGAGAGATAATCGGACCACTTCTACGACAACCATACCGACTAAACATAATCGACTCACTTCAATTATTCTATGTAAATGATAGAGAAAAAAAATGACAAATTCTGCTACACACTGTAACTGACCAACACTTCTTCCATACAAAGTGGTTATCATCATGTGCATGCCATTTCTAGGGTCTCACATGCAGGAATAATATACCCACTACAGATTGTGCAGAAGTTCCTGACTCCCCTCCGATATACACGCATATTGGAACTGCACACTGCGACATAAGTGACTATAGCTTGGTCGACAGAAACGTGCACAGGATACAACATTTTTATATAAAAATCCCGGTGTAAGTAGGGATTTCTCGTTTGGTCTATTTTGGGATGTTTTTATTATCCTGTAAATACTATTGGTAAAATATAATGTTGTGGCAAGAAATTTTATATGCTACAATAATTTTTCAAAATAGTGTTTTTCCCATTTTCTCTGGTCGGTGTGCCATTATTTTTACTCTTGCATTGCGATTCTGCGATTGATCTGAAATGCCCGATATCATTAATGCATTGTTTATATAAAATGTATTGTGTAACTCTCTCTTATAATTTTTTTTTCAGATTCCTGGCATTCTCATTTTTCCATTATAAGAAACCTGAGAAAACTCGTGAATCCTTCTGTAGGAGAGTTCAGCTCATTGTGCGGCCTAAAAGTATTATCTATGTTCGTTATAATATATGGTCATAGATGGATGACGACGGTCTTCGGACCTCTGTCTAACTTGGTGGAAGTCGAATTGGTAATTTTGTCATAAACCAATTTTTATACTTCTAGCCTAAAGATTTTCCTTTATAGAATTCCAGGCGTTTCTTGTGGACGATAATGACCAACGGAGCGATCGTTGTTAACACGTTTTTAATTATCACTGGGTTTCTTACATACTATAAAGTTCTGAAAGATGTCAATAACAAAGTGAATTATAACGTATTTAAGTACATTTACAGAAGATGGGTCAGGTAAATTTTAAAAATTCATCTAAATACATTTACCCATTCCTTCCACAGAAATTTACAGTTTCCAATGGATCAGTACCATGATTTAAAAAACATCAAGAATTGTCATGGTACCAACTGTTCACACGAGATCGGAACGTAGATGTGTCTTCGGAACATGATATGAGATCGAGGGAATTTAGGTGCGGGAAAACAAAGCCTCTTTTACGCTGGGTTGTTTTACGGAAATGAAAGTCGAATAACTAGGTTGTAAGAAAAGTCCTTGCGCAACAAAACCGTTATAGCACGCTATAGCAGTCATTGCATTATCATTCCCTCTTCTGGTTTCTCGTTTCTTTCTTATATAGCAGTCAGAACTCCTATGCCCAAATTTACCACATTCTTAACATTTTCCTGCAAACTGTGGTTACCTTTTAAAATTGTTAAAATGTTCGTTGTGTTTCTATTTGTTGCCAACAGGCTGTCTTGCTGCTTTAGTATATAAGGTTTCATTATTTATATTTTTAATGTCCAATCGTCCGTCCCTCTTTTCTTGTGGCGCTTCTTCTTCGATTAATTTAACTTTCAAATTACTGAGACTTCGAATATCGTCCCTTGATTCTATCACGACGGCAAAATGTTCGTATTCTTCAGGTAGCGATCCATTCAATACAATGCTTCTTCACCAGTAATGTTAAGACCAGAATTCATTGCATACCAAAATGCTGTGCATTTGCAATTTCCACGATATGTAGTTCAGTTTTTCGATATTTTGCGAATCGTTCATCGAGGCCATCTTCTTTTCGGTCACGTAAATCACGAACCCTCGTAACTTTATTAAAACGCCCTCACGTGCTTAAGCTTTACTGAAACGCATACACGCACCTGGGCCCATAACCTGTCAGGTGAAGGAGTTCTTATATAGAAGAAAACGAACTGTTTGAACACAGTTTACAAGTTTATTTATGACTGAGGAAACACTCAGTACAACCATTGGGCTTAAATTTAGACAGACCTGCGCAAGCCCTCTCTAACTACTGCACAAGATGGCAGGGAGAACATACTTAAGGCCATCTATATAATAAACAGTACTATTATTATACAAATAATACATTGTGTCGATTCTTTTTCTAACAGTAACCTAAGATGTCCTTAACTCTAACCCAAACCTATGTACATCCATTCCTTGGCCAATTTATCGGTCTTCGCGTTGCCGCTTTTCCCTGTATGCTCTCGTACCCAAGCAAAAGTAATTTTGTTGTCGTCTCCAATATCTCACAGGAATGAACCCCTGGACATTACTACCGATGCGCTTTTACCTTATTCCTTACAATGCTCATAGCATTTACGCAAGCTGCTGGTTTGGTAAAATGAATATTCTTGTACCGTGGGTCCAAAATGGTTGAAATATTCATTTTGTTATTTTCCTCTAAATTTGAAAATCATGCACGGGAAGCTGGAGCTTGAAAATCAAGCACCGTTGGAAGAGCTTCTTTTATTTCATACAGTACTGATATCGGGTCAATCAATATGTTATATGCAGCTCAGTAATCATTATGTTGACCATTGGATTACTGTTGTGATCGTGCAATATTTCTCTCCACAAGCTTGTTTGTGACAAATTCAAATGGTCGAAGAGAAACAGTTGTTTTATGTAGCGATTTCTTTCCCTGACTTTTAAATTAAAAAATTAAATAAAAATTNTAACATTTTTACCTGCGAGATTCCGTAGCCAGGTGTGAGACAATCTCTCTTACATCTTTGCCAAATTTTTCATAGCATTATTGAATACACACATGGATTGAATACAACATACATCAAGTTTTAATAAAATAATGTTGGACATAATGAAATTATTCAGCACCGTGTAAAAGCATTTATAAATACTTTTAATAGCTATTTGGGTTGTTTCAGTTGCGTTGATTTGACTAAATGTTTGGCAAATTTCCAATCCGGTTTGGCACAGCAAAACATTTTGTTGGTTCTCTCAAATAACTCAATATCACATTTTATGAACTTTCCAATCACTTTTTTTAAAGAAATGTTTTAAAAAACTACGTGTTTGTAGTTGTGGTTAAAAGAACAAAGTAGTTATCGATCTACAGTAATTAAATTGTTATGCTGGGGTATCTTCATAAGTTCTTAGCAATGAAAATGCAGATATTTAGGGTTTCACCAAGCTTTCGGAAATTTAGCACCTCAGAGCCTATTTATTGAACAAATATATTAACAAATTATATAAAATTCTTTGGTATTGCATAAATTGAGAAGTTTCAATGTTTTTGTAATAAATTATATTTAAAGCCTTACTTTACCCACTGATGAAATTGAAGTTTAAGCGATATTTTAAGTTAAAATTGAGGTTTCGGCTGACTTGGGTATGACTGACATATTGGAATGGATGAAATTGCAGTTACAGTATGAATGGTGAACTCTTGGTAAAATATGTGGACGACTTTTGGTATGATATCTATTAAGATAGATATACCAAAAAAGGTAAACTCGTATCACGATTCGGTTATATTCACATTAGAGGAGGGGTTGGATGGGAAATTACCATATCTGGGCCTTGTTATTTAAAAAAAGTGAATTTAACCGACTGACAATTGGTACAAGAAGCCTACAAGCCATGGTAGATTCTTTGACGTCAACTTCTCTCATTCTTTTGCGTTAAAATTTAATTATGTTAAGAATCTGGTCGACCGAGTTTTTTGCCTCAGCAATTCCAAATATTTAGAAAAAATTATAGCAAAAATAAACAAGTTATTAAATATTAACCATTACTATGTGGCTTTGACGAGGAGACTAACGAATGCGTAGCAAGGCAAGTGTCCTCCCAATGTCAAATACCGAGATGAACAGAAATGATAAATCAAGTATTATTAAGTCACTTACGTTTATACCCAGAGTTAATTTTTATTAATTTTTAAAAATAAACGATAAAATTGGTATTATGTACAAATACAAGTATAATCTACACTCGAACTTGAGAGCCAATGAGCCTTTGAACTCACAATGTAACGTAGTATGTAGGTTATCGTGTACGGGTTGTAATGTGAAATATGTCGGACAAACGAAACAGAAAATAGTCATGAGTATGAACCACACAGAGTAGGTGGCAAAAATGGGACGAAAATTTCAATCTTGGCAACACAAGCACTGGAAATTCGCTTGGAAATTTGGACAGGCAGCTACTCGTGGAAAAGCTTTTTGTACAAATAACGCCCCTTACTTGTAACCTGCAAACGGATAGATTGGGCTCCATCTCGGTATACTTGGCAATCTTAGTGCGTACAAAAATCGAAAACAAAAATTGAATCAAGAAAATATTGACAAAAAAATTCAGCACTCTTTAATATTGCCTTTTCTACGAGAAACATACTGTAGGTGAAATTTGAACAATTACGCTGCTAAAACCGAAACGTAAGTAAAATTACATTTTTTTTTTAAAGAGCAGGAATAATGGTGAAACCATGCCAGAAATGATCTATATTTAGAATTTAATTTCTCGATCCGCGTGCTCCTGTAAAACTACCAAGTAAATTTTATTTCAAACTTGAAGTTAAAAAAAAAGTAATAATGAAGGGTGGAGAAAAACTTTGTTCAGCAGGAATATAGTAAGTTTAAAAATGAAACATAGAGTGTTACAAAATTTTAACACAAAAAAATGTCTTTAATCCAAATGACTTACTTAGTAATGTAGAATACAGATCGTCTCATTAGAGTTAAAAAGCACTGGGGTAGATATTCTAATCGAAATAACAAGATAACCTGAATCCCAGGATAAGATTGCAGCTGGATGAACATAGCTATCGCTACGTTTTGTTAAATTTTATTGAGCATTTAAAATGTAAAGTAAAAGTTAATTAAAAAATGATTTATTACTAAATATTGTTATGTATTTATTATTCGTTTAATAATTTATAAATTAATAATTATGTAATATACACTGATGGACAAAATAAACGAACCATCCTTAAATTTTAATGTATTTACGTTTATTCATATTTTGCCAGCAGTAGGTTTGGTTGTAAAAAATAAGACATTTAAAAAGAAAATGTTTATTACATAATTGGTGGAAAAACAATTATTGAGCAAAGAACAAAAAACATAATCTTTTTAAAAAGATCGAACAATACACTCACTCCACCATTTATCTTTTCTACAAAAAAAAAAAAAAAAAAAAATTCAAAAACAAATAAAAATGTTTAAAAAAGTTATTTGTCCCCTTTAGTACCGAGTATTTCCGCCTCTGGCACGAATCACGTCGGAAAAGATTTCTGATAAAATCTTAAGGAATTCTTTCCCATTCATCAAGAACAGCCGTTTTCATCTCTTCTAGGTTGTCAGTATCTGGGTTTCGCCGTCGTATTCGTCACTAAAGTTGGTCCCAAATGTTTTAGATTGGGTTCAAATCTGGACTTCGAGCTAGCCACACCAAGCACTTAATACCAGCCTCATTCAGATACTCATCCACGATACGTTCTCTACGGGGCCGGGCATTATCCTGCATTAGCAAGAACCTCTGTGAAGAGATCTTCCTCGCACAACAACCAATTCGATGCGGGCGTTCAAGGAAATGCCACCCCAGAACATCAATGACTACCAATGCCGCCTGAGAAACCGTACAGCATGGGGTGTACCTTTCTCCTGAGAGTCTCCATACGAAATTACGCCCACACCATCGAACATCGATGTGGGGGGCAAATGGCACTACATTTTCTTCGATTATGTCTTGTAAGTACCTGTGTACGCACGATAATGCCAGTCCCCATTGAGCACGTATTGTGGATGACTATCTGAATGAGGTTGGAATTGAGTGTGGTGTGTCTAGCTCGAAGTCCAGATTTGAACCCAATCTAACACATTTGGGACCAACTTAAGCGACGAGTATGACGGCGAAACTCAGATCCTGTCAACCGAGAAGAGATGAAAACGGCTGTTCTTGACCCGCACTTTTTTAGGGCCACCATACGACCCGGTCACTAAACTTATAGTTTTTCTTTAATACGTTATTTTCGTGGTCGATTAGAACGAATAAAAATGATAATTAATAGGCGAGACGTGTAAAACCAACATGGCTTGCTCAGACGCGAGTATCAATTTCTTCTGCTTATATAAAAAAAATAAGAACAGGTTTGATTCTTGTTCAGCGATAATGTTTTAAATTTTTATCTCCAGCATCGCATCTTCTTGGAGAAACTTTCCTTTTCTTCGGCATCAATGTAGTAGAAAACCCATTGAGCAATTCCTTCATCAGAAAGAGACTGCGAAAGGAGTTACAATAAAATAGAGGATTAATTTTACCCGTCCAGATAAAACCTTTTCAAGAAAATCATATTGTAAATTAATATTGTGAAGTTCATTCTTCTGCCTCATCCGTCTGGAAATTCAACCGCCGAACTTATTATATTCTCCAAACGGTTTTAATAATTTCGGACGATTTTCCAAAAAACTCATTTTTTTAAATTTGTGTAAAATTTTGGAGGGTGATATTTTAGAAAAAGTACCTAGAATGTTTTTGAATCATTGGCTCTCTTTCTGCCTCCCTTTGAACCTTTAGCGTCGGGACAAAATTATCCTTCGTTTGTTCCCATTTGTTGTAAAAAAGTGGTGAAAGGTTGACCCGACTCTCGTAATTCGTTTTCTATGAAACTCCTTTTCCCATTTGGACTATTGTAAGTTGTTTTCGTTTTCGTAAATTGCCAATTATAAAGTTTTTCACTAACGTCTCCGTACTTTGAAATCGTCCAGTAACACTTTTATTCCCGTTTATTTCATGCTGCTGAAATAACTTCATTTGGTGTATTCATCTTTTTAAACATTTAATTTGTTCATATTTTAGACTGACGCCTGCTTATGCTTACGTAATGGCTTTTGGTGTATTCATTTTTCCTCATCTGGAACTCGGGCCGATGGCACGCCATGTCATATGGAGGAATTATTGCGACCAATATTGGTGGACGCATATTTTGTACGTCAACAATTACGTTAATACGGATAAACAGGTTGAAAATTGATAGAAGGCATCTCGTGGAAGATGGTAAAAAGCGAAAAAATGTTAATGTTTCAGTGTCTAATACCTTCCTGGTACATGGCAGTGGATGTACAGCTCTACATATTCTGCTCCGTCTTGGGATACGTGCTGTATAAGCACAGGAACACCGGGATTGCGATTCTGCTCGTCTCGGCCGTCGTAGCGTTCGTCGTCCCAGGATTGCAAGTTATCATTAACCGTTACGAGAGCGTAACAGTTTTTTATGTCAGGTAATTCCATTCGATTTATTATGTTATTTTATATATATAATGACCTGAACCGGATAAAGAATAAATTTAAAAAAGTAAATTAATTTTACTTAACTTGGGCGCTAGGCATAAGCCAAAGAAACGAAAAATGAGAAAATAGAATAACACTGACCTTAGTTTACGTACTAAAAGATAGGAATTCATGCTCACGACCAGTCAGGGTACGGGAGGGTAAGGTTCGCGTAATAGCAAAAAAATAGTTAAACAATGAAAATAGAAAATAACACAGAATAAGATAATGAGGTAAGGTATAATAAACAAATCTGTACAAATCTCGTGATAATCGGTAGCGGAGTGGGCCTGGACCGTCCAATCTCCAGATGGGGACAGCTAAGCTTCGCTGGTCAGGTGAGGAGAGCCATGTCTTGGCAATCCAAGCCACTAGGTTGCAATATATTCGAAATAAAGTGCATCTACCGAGCATAAGAACAGCCTAAATCGCTCCTTTGTTCAAGTTTAATCACACTTCGAATGGGAGTTTATAAGATTTATAGACTTTCTCTAGTACATGTACAATAGAGAATGACATCCATATGGTGGTTTTTATCATGGCTTGTTTTTGATTTTCATTTTCACGTCATTGAGTTTGCGTACCGATGTCCATGGGCTGAGTTAAGTTAGGCATGGTTGGACTATGTATAGGTTTAGGGTAGGAGTCGGGTTAAGTTAGTGTAAGTTATGTAGGTTAGGTAGTGTTAGGGTTAGGGTTAGTGTAAGGGATAGGGATAGTGTTAAGGACAGGTTAGGTAACATATCCATGATTCATTGTTTTTCCGTTAGTGGAGAAATATGCAAGTGCAAAGTTTTCAAATTTTTATTTTCAAAACTCCAGGAGTCATTAAGCACAATGATCCCGAAAGATGAAAACCTTCCCACTTAACAAATTCGTACAGTCATTTTTTTTTCATGTTATTAAGCATAAGAATAGCCAACAACGCCCTTTCGTTCCGGTGCACTCTTTAAATTCAATTTGGAATGGGAGATAAAAGGTTTAATTAAGACTTTCTATAGATCACGCTCAACAGAGAATGCCATCCAATGTGGATGTTTTTAACATAGATATGATTTGAAATTTAATTTTCGCCCATAGGTTGGGTTAGAAATGGTTAGGGTTAGAGAGACAGGTACATTATGTAGGGTTAAGGTTAGGGTTAGGTAGTGTTATGGTCCGGTTACGTCAGGTTAGGTTGGGTAGTGTTAGGGTTAGGGTTAGTGTAAGAGAGGGGTTAGGTTACACATCCATGCATCAATATTTTAGCGTGAAGCGGAGAAATATGCAAGTGCAAAGTTTTTATTTTTACAACTGCAGGAGTCACTAATCACAATGATCCTGAAACTTGACAAACCTTCTCACCTAATGAATTCGTTCGGACCTGTTACTTTACGTTTGTTTTTATCCACAGTCCAAGAGAAAATTATACGTCTCTATCTAGTCCTAAACTCCCAAAACGTAGTACCAAACCACCAATTTGGTTTCGGTTCACATCACATCACCTTTCAACAGGGCCATATAGTTGTTGACGCCATCTATTCCGGCTTTGAGCAAGGAGAGTATTATTCTGGTGAGTATTCTCTCGAAACTAAAGGCTCTACTCTCTTTAACCAATTACCTAATACTAAGTTAGGTACCAGGTCAATCTGGTGCAGAATTTTCCGTTCTCTTCCTTGTCAGTGCTGGATTATAGCAAGGTAGTATTCTTAGTGTTCTGCTTCTTATAGTATAGGTACATGGCGATCTCGCAAATTCCCTACACATGCCTTGCTACCCAAAGATAGCTGCCTTCCATATTAAAGTCTATCTAAACGGAATCCAACAATGAACCACCATTCAACTACTACTCTAAATAAAGTTATTATATGGAATAAAATTAGACCAGAGGTAACAAAAAACAGACTTTTGTTACAACTGACTTGCTTTCAGGAACTTTGAGTTCTGGTTTGGAGATAAGCAGTTCATTGATACTTACATGCACTTCGAAGCCAGAGCCCTATCCTACATAATCGGGATGTTCGGTGCCTACGTCTATTACACGGCAAAGCCCAAGAAAATCAAATTTACGCAAGTAAGTTTTGAGCAAAATTTCAATGGAAAAATGTATAATAATGTGGATACGTATTCTAGAAGACACTCTATTTGATAACTGTGGTAATGAACTTCGCCCAAACAGTAGCACTGCTGGCGCCGTGGTTCTTGTACCTGCCAGGAAAGCCGTACAGTATAGTAGGTCACTTCATGTACGCAGTCACACATAAAATCCTGTGGGGGATACCTATCTGTTGGTTCATCGTCATCAGCAGTCTGACAAACTTCCGTAAGTTTATCAAATATATATATTTACCACTTTTCAAAAAAAAAAAAAAAAATTATATATATATATATATATATAAGTTTTCATTGCGTTGAGCTTATATAAACCAGTCAATCAATATAAAAGAATTGCATAAGAATGTCTCTGAAAACATAAGCATTACATTAGTTGTCGTGCCAAAACAAAACTATTAGATACGTATTGTTGTAAAAAAAATCTTTAGCCTTAATGACTTTTCTTTAATATGTCAGCTCTTAACACGAAGGATCGTCATCAATATCAAACCTTCGCTTAACATCAAAATTTGACATATGTTTTACACAAGCAAAATATGCTTGAGCATTAATTGTGTCATAGATGTTAGTGATTAAGATTAGGTTAGGTTAAATAGGGTTGGTTAGGATAAGAGGGTAGGTTAGGTTAGATTTGCTTGGATTGAGCATCTTACTAAATTTGCTCGAGAAAAATTGTCTTTCTAATTGGTGAAAAAAGCCTGACCATTTTTTTTCCATGATCGATTTACATTTTTCTAGAAAATAAAGCAACACAAAATGTATTATAGAAATTAATCATTACAGCGAACTGTTTTTTAATTCAATCAAAAATATAATTAGTACTCTTGGTCACGGTTCAAACATTATTTGACATATTTTTTTATTAAATAGTATTTTAAAATGTGGGTATTATGCATTTTGGAAAATCTTAATAAAAATATTATTGTAAAGATAAAATTTCATCAATCGTCCAATAAGAAAATTGATTAAAGACTTCTTGAGTGCGCATGTGTTGGGTTAGGTTTGGTTAACGTTTTGGATAGGCTAGATAAGGTTTGGTTCACCTTAGGTTGGGTTAAGGTTATGTTTGGGCTAGGTTAGGTTGGGTTAGAAATGATGAACGAATTTAAAAAGGATTAAGTTGGGTTAGATTTAGAATTGAATTATTAGCGGCGAAAATATGCGAGTACGAATTATTATGTTTACTTTAAAGTATTTACCTTGCTTTTTCGTTCATTTCCAACGGCTATGTGTTTCATATCAAATTTAAAAAATTTAATCACAAAATGAAACAAAAATTTAAAAATCTTTATTAATCTACGATTATTCCATGTTTCACAAAACATTTGCTTCCAACCTGTCCAAGCTCCGAACAACTGCTATTAGGGATAATAAAGAGGGTTGTGCTAGGATTTCAAAGCCAAGCCCCTTCATTTGTTCACAGCGGGTATGACACAGACATGAGGTCAGGTCTTGTCATGGAATGAAGGAATAATGAACACAACTTACTCGTTAAGGATTCAAGCCTGATAATGCTATACAAAGATGTCCATTTACCAAAATATATAAAATGAAAATACTACTACTATCTACTACTAGTACTATCGAAATTACATTAAAAATTGACAACTTCGCTACCACATTGTAAGGGCAAGAGGTAATGAAAGAGACGGGACATCCAGAAGAAAAGGGATTGGGATCGGCGGAGAGAGAGGGGAAAGTAATTCCATAAGTTGGAAGCATGGATAAGGAAGGGATGAATAAAAACAGTAATTTTGGGTTTTTAAAGGTCAAAAAGGCGGGTGCGAGTGTGACGGACGAGTGCAGAGGATCTGAGGTGAGATCATATCTGTATGGTATGACCACAAGTCGGCGAAGAGATCAGTTGGGACCTCGTTGGTTAGCCAAAGATAAAACTTACAAACGATTCATTAGACGTTTTAGCTTATCTTCAAGTTCCCCGGTGAGGCCCCGTACATAAATTGTGGGAGAATAAGGGAAGAAACTAAGACCACGCGAAATAAAGGGGTGAAGGTGGTTGGCACGATGAAACTGATGGCGGGAGAAAAAGTCGGGAAATCTTGAAGATATGGGGATAATGCTTCCAGGACAAGATCTGATCAAGAGGTTCTTGACGGTGGGTTACAATGGTAAATGAAAGGATAGGAGGTCAGTGGAAGAGTCACTGACAGTCAAATGGAAGAGAAACTGGATACAACTTACAAGCATAATAGACAATTTTTCTACGTCCCAATTAGGTCGTCCAGCAGGGACCTTTCCTGTTCTTCAGTTCCGGCTGATTTTTTATCACATTTTGGCAGTAAGTCGTTGTTTCCTCATAAGCAGGAAAAAAGGAAGATCACCCGTCCGATTAACATTTAATTTTAGCACCTGACTGAACGTTCGAACCACTGGCATTGATGATTGTCAAGCATGATCCGTTATGCCCAAATGGCTCCATTTTTTAACGTTGGAGCAGTGATAAACAAAGCTTATGTTCATTCATCTCGTGCACGACGTATCGAGCTTTTTAACGTTTTAAGGTGTCTAATTAAGAGCCTGGATTATACGATGATGGTTATGGTCAGTGGAGTATATATGTTTAACCGCGTTGCATTTTTAATAATCGTCGTAGAGGCTAAATGTGGAAATATGGAGAGGATGAAAGCGCCGAGTGTGTTTTAATATCACTGAAAATGTCAGGGGAGGAGATACGAGTGGGCTGAACATATGTAGGCGGTTCGGCAACTACAAAGGAGGTCGATTAGCGTTAAAGCACCATAATTAACCATAACTCCAGAATACGGTAATTAGAAATAAGTTCAAAAGTTGTTATACGGCTATGACTTTCTATTATTGGTAATGTCATAACAATTTACATTATACAAAGAAAAGATCGCTTTATACAATGATTGGGTAATACACACATTCTGTTTAATGTTTAGCAGTAATTAATAATCTCTTATCGATATTCAATTGGGTTCCATTGCAATTTAAAAACTTAAAGCTATGGAAAATCAGTAAAACTTACTTGCAACTTGACAAGTATAACACGCGGCGTTGATTTGAAAGGCTTGAACAGAGGAGATTCCTGTCTGAAAATGAAAAAGGGCTCCAGGACGACATTGATTGGTTCCACAGCAAGCTCGAATACTTGCCTGACATGAGAAAGAACGGTAGACTGGTCCTGCAAAACCCCACAGAAATCGATAGAAAGATTAAACCAGAAGGCCAGGACAGGATCGACCTAGGTCTACGGATCCGTCATCAAGCTCTACGAAACCGCAGCCTTACGGGAAATGAGTTAAGAAATCTGATAAGACAGGTACGCAATGGACGAGTTCTCTTTAAATATGAGGTAAAAGTTGGCCTCATATCTTTAGATGGGCGTAATTTCATATGGATACGCTCAGGAGAAAGGTACGCCCCATGCTGTACGGTATCTAAGGTGGCATTTGTAGTATTTGATGTTCTGGGGTGGTATTTCCTTGGACGCCCGCATCGAATTGGTTGCTGGGCGAGGAAGAACTCTAACTTCACTGAGGTTCTTGCTAATGCAGGATTATGCCAGGCCCCATAGAGCACGTACTGTGGACTACCTGAATGAGGTTGGAATTGAGTGCTTGGCGTGGCCAGATCCAAGTACACATTTGAACCCAATTGAACACATTTGGGACCAAAAGCGACGAGCACGGTGGCGAAACCCACGTCGTAACACCCTAGAAGAGTTGGAAACGGCTGCTCTTAATGAATAGGAAAGAATTCCTCAGGATTTTAACAAAAATCTTTTCCAAGGCTTTTAACGGACGTGGCTCGTACCAGAGGTGGAAATACTCGGTGTTAAAGGGGACAACATTTTTTTTTACTTTTTATTTGTTTTTGGAATCTCTCTCTCTCTCTCTCTTCTCTCTTCTCTCTTCTCTCTCTCTCTCTCTCTCTCTCTCTCTCTCTCTCTCTCACCCTCTCTCTCACCCTCTCACCCACACATACACACTCTCACATTCACTCTCACTCTCACCATTTTCTCTAACTCATCTACCAGTCTGTCTATCTGCATAGATAGTGAAACATAAAATATTTGATTTTATTAATTTATGTTTTGGGATGTCCGGAAAATGGTGCAGGTTTTCATATTTTCTTTCAATTACCCCTCTATATAATAAATTGTTTACGTTTGATAGATTATTCTTTTATAGGAATGTCAAATCTATTTAATCCTCTTCGAAACAAAAATGTTTGTTTATCTCAGGTGCATTTCGTTATTTGAGAATAATTCATTCATACAGAGTAAAGTAAGATGACAGCACTGGAGCTGAAGTCTTCGGGATGAACCCAAAGACCGAACTGACGGTAAACAAATAATAAATAACAAAAAAATATATTACAGTTTTCCAGTCTGAAATCATAGCGATTGAACACGGCGCCTGGGAAATAGAAAGGCTAGCAATACATTCCCGGAAGATAGCCAACTGCTCTGACAGTCATGTAGCACTAAAGGACCTAGCATAATGCAAGGTGAAGGAAAAGAGTGTTTGGAACTCGCATTGGAAAGCGCATGCACCGGATAGTAGTACAGACAAGAAACACTGAGCAGATACTGCCAGGAAGAGGAGGAGACCGCAGAACATATTTTATGTTTCTGTGAAGGTCTATGTAGATGAAGGTTCTTGCAAGTAGGACAGAAAAACCCGCATGCAACATCCTACACTAAGTAGCCGCTGCCAAAGTTATGGAGGTGATTAACAACCTAAAGCTGGGCAGTGAATTATAAAAAACAGGGGAGCACAATAGATCTATTCAGGTCGAGGAGCAAAAGGCCTTGTGACCGCCTCTTTTATCCCTATCCCTATGTAAGATGACAATCCGTGATTTTAGCGTAATTTCGTTTTACGAGTGTAAACTCGGTCGGAAAGGTGCCTAAACGGCCAGAAACATTAATGATACTTCATTAATGTATACTTATGGCATATACTTATGGCAATGGCCATGTGGTGAGAGCACCGTTCAGAGATGGTTTAAAAAATTTCGAGAGGGAGACTTGGCTTTGAAGACATAGAATGTCGTGGAAGGATTTCTTCCCTAGATGATGATGTTCTGTGAGCTTTGGCCGAAGAAAATCCTAGAACAAATGTTCGAGAACTTTCAGAGAATATTTCAGTTAGCAAATCGAACGACGCTGACCAACATAAGACAATTGGACAGGTGAAAAAGCTCGAAAGTTAGGTTCCTCTTGCATTAAACGACCACCAAAAAAATCATCATTATGAAGTTTACGCAACACCTCTTTGCAGAAACAGATACGAACCTTTTCTGGATAGAATTGTTACTTATGATGAAAAGTGGATTTTCTACGATAACAGCAGACGTTCTGGACAGCGGCAGCGGACAAACGAGAAGCGGCACCATATTTTCCAATGCCCCCAACTCATCAACAAAAGGTGATGGTGACTCTTTAGTGAGCTTCATGGGCTGATTTACTACAGCTTTTGAACCCTGGTGAAACGATTGTATGTGAAATGTATAGCTTTCAATGGTGTTCAACACGAAAACTGTTGGATCTTGATTATGAGGTTCATTCTCCTGGCTCGCCTACCGACTACCATTTTTTCAGCTACCTGGACAACGGTTTACAATGTAAAAAATTTATTGATCAAAAGTCGTTAGAAAATGCGTTTACAGAATTTGTTAATAATAAAAACTTAAAATTCTCTTCAGGGGGTTAGAGAAGTTGGGAGTAGTCCATTGAGAGTTATGGAGAGTATTTTAATTAATAAAACATCATTTATTTAATTGTTTTATTGTATAACCAGAAACCTGCATTATTTTCCTGACAACACAATAGTATACCACTTTTTTTTCAAATTACCTTTTGATCGAAAACTATGGAACACAATAGGCAATATTTTGAATATAAATTGTATTTTAGATTAAAAAATAAGCTATCCTGAGAATATAAAAGGGTTTTTTTTTCAGCTCCACTTAAGTTAATCGGGACAAAACCGTTCCGTATACTGAACCAGCTGAATTATAGCGCCCTTTTGGTTCATACGCCGGTCCAGCTCTTTCTGGCAGGAATGCAGAGGAGCCCGGCGTACTTCTCGCCTGTGCTTTCGGTTCGGCTGTACTTATAAATTGTCACATGTCTAAATGTTTATAATCCGTTTTATTTTTCAGATCTGGAATTTTATCGGCGACTTGGTCTTCTCTTACCTCGTCGCGTTATTCCTTTATCTATTCGTCGAAGCGCCCCTCGCCTGGTTTCAGGACTGCAAGTTCGACTGTTTTAAAACCGTCCGATGTTGAAAACGGAAATATGCGAGATAGGGAAAAAGAGCCAAATTTTTAACCCTTTTGTGATTCATTTGCCCATTGTACATTTTGAAAGGATTGAATAAAAATACAACAATGTGTGATTTGTACATGTGTTCCCCCAATAATCATGATTCAACGTAATGTATATTTTATCAACTAGTCAATAACGGAGTGATAACACGGCTCCCCTATCAAATTGCAAGCACCCACAACGATCCGCTGATAACAAATAATTAAATATTGTTGTTAATTGCAAGTGAAAAATAAAAGAAAAATAATCATATTATGGCCCAAATAAACATAACCCATAGCAAGTCTCAACCATAAATATTTTTTTTTATATTTAAAATTACACTCGACATTTTAATATTGCTGGAAAACAGCCTATTTTCGCCCTTGAAAGGGACTTTTTACGTAACAGGATTTCAGCCCCCGCTAATTGTAACATTTCCAATTTCTTATACAACCAGCTAAGGCTTACATAATTATATATAATTAACTTCTTTCGCCTAAAATTCTCTTTAACCTATGTGACAACCCGAAGGATGACAAACACTGACTGATACGTGATAATCATATTCGTATGATAACATAAGAAATAACTAGAACTCTACTGTCATATGGTATGTAGAAGTATAGCAGGTAAGAGCCATGGTTAGATTAGGTTGCTAACCTCTTTACGATCTTACGAACTATTGTGCAATTTCCGCCATTTTAAAGGGCGATTCGTTAACCTGATCCCAAGTCCTGTTAAAAGTTCCCATGTGTCCTTCAGATCTTGGCTTTTCCTCTTCCAGGAATAGGAATGTAAGCTTGGAGGCCTTTGCACCAAGAGGACATGCTCAGCTGTTTTTCCTCCCTGGCAATATGAGGCAATACGACAGTCTTGTTTCTGCTGTTCCGAGTCAATACTCATGCCTCCGGAGCCTGCTGTACCATTCTAGTCCTGACGTGTTCTTCGTAATTGTGCCTGATGGTTCTTTAACGAGCATTTTTCGCATTCCTCTGTCGTGAATACATTCCCATTAAGCTGAGGACTTATGATTAACCCATTATCTGCGGGATCTGTTTTTTTTTTTTTTTTTTTTTTTTTTTTTTTAAATATGGCACGGAGATATGGCACATCCAAAATAGATTGATGTTAATCATAACCTGACAATAATTTGAATGCCAGGGCACAACAGAATTCTGGGTAATGAACAGACAAATTGCCCAAAGGAGGATCCGCAAGTTCATCAAGTCCAGAACCTATAATTGAAATAACAGGATCAAACATACATATAGATACTTACTATTTCTATTTTAGACTGTTCTATCTCAGATTTTGTCCATACGCTAGAGGTGCCAGACATAGTAAGCATTATGGTTAAAGAACCCTCGCCAAATACATTGATTCAGCTGGACAGGGTAAAACGCAGGGAACTAATACGTCAGTGGAATTTGAGAAAGTACCCGCACAACATGGATGTATTCAATGATGGACCCATTTGTAAGTGAAGGGTGAGGATGAAGAAACCACCCAAGATATGCCATGAATGCGAAGCAACCGCTCGATGAACGCATAAACTAGGGTACCAAGATGACCCAGAAAAAATAATAGCTCTAAAAGGGTCAATGATCTTTCCGCAAAATAAGAATAAAGTGAATCAACTCAACTAAGGAACTAGGAAAAGTAACATAAACCACAGATTATTTGGAGATAGTGAGATGTGGTCTGGTGTGACGTAGGTTTAGAAAAACATTTTGTTTATCGTCCCAACGTTTCGATCTTTATGGAGATCATTTTCAGGGCCTGAGATTTATTAACATTGTTTAAATTATACAAATGCATGTAAGATGTAAAAAAATGAATTTATACAATGATAGAAATTTTAGACTCAATCAAAGTATTTGTACTCACTCAAAGTGTTTGTTTTCTGTATAGATGTGTCATAACTGTGAGTCATGTTGAAAGTCCAGTGAGATATTAATGGTTTTTGTTTATATACATTGGATATTGAAGGAGTGGGAAAAGAAGTAGGGAAAGAAATCCATTTTCCTATGAGGAGTCGGTTTCATTACTAAACACCACACATAAACCACAAAGCTATAGTACTAGTGAAATACCAAACTCCTGCTTCCTTATAACCTCATCAACATCAAAATATTCTAGTTCAAACCAAACAGACCTCTTGAAATTCAAAAAAGAGTAGGCATGGAAGAAAACCTGCTCTATAAAGCATGTTAACCATGTTACTTCACATATCTAGAGCATGAAAAGGGGTAGGAAGGAATATTTTGTCCCAAAACCAAATAATCAGCACCCATAGACATGGTCTTTCAGAAGACAATGCAATTGAATAAGCGCACATCCGATCTGAACTGAGGATACAAAAACAAATGTGTCAGATAGACAAGCAAGCATCTGCTGAAATCTTCTGGTTCCAGGATACAGGGGAAATGGAATGAATCTTTGCAAGTAATGGAGCTGACTCTGCTTAAAGGACCTGAACCTGACCTTCTGAATATACAATCAGGATATGAATCTTCCGCCGGATTTGAAATATACGTTTGCTAACTAACTGCGAACCTACATGAAAAAAAGCAAGTTCTGGTGCTTGTTAACATCACTGTGCAAAGTGCTATTAACAGTTTTTACTTACCAAAAGAGTGGATTTTATTAGGTAAAATCGTTGTTTTAATTAATATTGGCTTTTCGAACGAGCCAAAAAGTGCGGAAAAGCTGCATTTTGTTTGTTATTGTGAGGTTAAGTTGACTTTTGTCTTTCTTTTAGATTGCCAAGGTTAGTATTGTTAGTATTCAGTTGTTGTTTATGTAAACAATTTTGAATACGTCTTATCTACCCAAAACCAGGATATTATTAGGTAAAATCGTCATTTTTCGATGATATTCACTTTCTTACGGATAAAAAGCTAGAAAAAACCTGGATATTATTAAGTAAAATTGTCCTTTTCAGAAGATATTCTCGTTTTAAAGGAGATTGAGAAAAAAAAATGTTGAGTTGTAGTTTGGTTTAAAATTGGCTATTTTTAATTCTTGTTAGTAAAAATAGTTGGAAATAATTAGAAAAAATCATGGTTATTATTAAATAAAATCGTTCTGTTTAGTTGATACTAGGTTTCTACAGCTTTTACAGAATGAAATAATACATAACCTAGCTTTTAAAGTGTGCAATTCAAATAACTTCAAGGAATGAACAAGAAAAATTATTGTTGATGCGTTCGGTCATTAGGCTGCATGCTGCAAAGCTGATTATTTTTTGTCCAGACACCATCACCTAACCATCAGAAAAGTAACTCAAAGTTAATCACACCTTTGAAAATCAAAGTTCGAACGTTTTGGCATCTCCTTGAAACCAAAGAAATTGCCGGTTTACAGTAGTGTGTGGAACTTTCAGAAACGCCTGCATGATTTCTCGTGTTTGTTCCCAGCTATCAAGAGATCGTGGACTGCTGATATAACTTTACTTTCAAGGTTCGTGTTTCCTTTAGGGAATTTTTCAAGCCCGGCTCTCGGCAACAAAGCTCGACTTAACTTTTTTTACAATCTACTTCGCAAAAGCAAACAGTTAGGGGTTGAGATTGTAAAGTTATTACTAGACAGGCGTTGAAAATTCGGTACAATAATACCAGACAGCAGTTGGTCCATACAACTTTCTTAAGATGTGGCTTATAACGTAACTGTATACTTTGAACGACCACAGTTTAACGGAAAGGTCTCAAGTGTCGTTTTTCAGTTTACAGATTGTACAGATTGAACAACCGTCGAATATTTACACAAATTAAGATTGTTGCTATCTTTTCCATAAGAATTTGTTCTTTCATTTATGTTTTAAATATGCTACCGGTGTTAATAAGAAAAGTGTTATATTCGGGTCTCTGAACACAGATCCTGTTCAAACTTTGTACAACTTTACAAGCTCCTTATTACGACGCTTTTTTCTCCAACCTTATAAAATATTTCTCCTGTTGGAGAACGCAATTTATAATTTATATTTATTCACAAAAACTGCCTCTCTTTATCCTTGAACGTAATAATTATTATTTGACACACTTGATCGTATTTTGTCGTTGAAGGAAACGTGTGGATTTTTAATTTTTTTATATTTTTTTTACAGTCGTTATCAATTGAATTAATATTTAAACATGAAGGTAAAGTGATAAAATTTGCGAGGGACGTCAGTGACGAACGAATAAATCCGGACAAAATAGGAATAATGGATGAGAAACGTCGTTTGCGCTGCTCCGAGATAAAGCCGGAGATCGTTGTACTCGAATGGATGAATATTATGAGTGAGATAAATTGTTGAATGAGGAATACAATGCCATAAACTTATAAATATTTATTCAAAAGCGACAGAGAAAGATCAAGTAAGGCTGGAATGTTAAATAAAAACGCAGCATACGTTTGGAACATTCACTTGCCCGTTAATGGCATCACCCACAAGGTTTTCAACTACGCGAACATTGCAAAAATTGTCGCTCTTACGGTGAAAAAGATATACATCTGTTTGGTATTTATTCGATCAAGAAAAATGTTATTAGGCTGCACAGACATCTCACCCAACAAAAAAAGCCAGAGAGAACGAGCAGATAATTATAAGGCGGGAATGAAAAAAAAGAGAGAGGGGGAGAGAGAAAGTGAAAGTAAGAAATAAAGAATTAAAGAGAAAGAGAGAGTTAAATGGAAAAATAGAGTGAAAGAGAGTGGGAGAGGGAGGAAAGAAGGGAGAGAGAGGAAAGTAGAGAAAGAGAGAGTAAAAAGTGAGAAAGAGAAAGATAGAATTATAAAGAAAGAGAGAGAGCAAGAAAGAAAGAGAGGGAAAGGGAAAAAAGAGAGAGAGGGAGAGAAAGAAAGAGAGATGGAGGGAGAGAGTGAGTAAGAAAGTTGGAAAGAAAGAGAGACAGAGTGGGAAGAGAGAGAGAAAGCGAAAGAGTCAGAAATAATGATTTAAAGAGAAAGAGAGAGTTAAAGGGAAAGATCTCTATCTCTCTCTAAGAAAGAGAGGAGGAGAGGAAAAGAAAAGGAACACATATGTCCTTTCTTCCTGCGGACACCGCTATTTTTAAAGTACATTTATCTCTTTTTAATTTTAACATTTAGTATAGTATGCTTAAGTATTAATGATTTATAAGATTTTACAAAAGTTAAAATTAATATTTTTGACAGTTTGTTTTGACATTCATTAATTACCAAATATAAATAAATAAAGAGAATCGTGATATAGCTTCTATAATGAATTTAAAATAGATCTAACATCTATGCACCGTATTTGTAATGTAATGTATTTTATTCTACGTATTGTCTTACCCAAAATTGAATGGATTTTCAGTTTGTTTGATGCCACGGGCTTCTCAATTTTCAGTTTTCGAGTACAAGTTAAGATTTTGTGAAGCTTGTTCTAGAAAGTGTTTGTTATTTACACTTTATTTGTTTATTTAGTGTTAGGAAAATAGCATCTTTGACTTCGATCGTTCGTTCTGTGACGGCTCATTGTTCACTATAATTTTTGAGATATTTTTATCTTTTAAAATACCCAGATACTTTGAATGACGAATAATTATGGTTTTAGAGTTATTTTGATTTATGTTTAATCCGTGTTCCTTGCACCAGTTTTCCATGACTTTAATTTCGTTATTCATCTTACCATTAATCATGTTTCATTAATCTTACAAGCAATATATATTTGAAGATCATCAACGTATAATATAACTTTGCATTCATTAAAGCATTTAATTAGCACTATTAATAAGAAGGATAAACAACAGTCTTGACATGGTCGACCCTTGTGGGATACCACTCCTTACATCTTGCTTAGATGTTACCTTAATTTTTAACAATTTTGTAACATATTTTTCGGGTAAGATTTAAAAAAAATTTACTACAGTAAAATCGAGGTTATACGATTTGAGCACTGGTATAAGCAGTTTGTGATTTATCGAATCGAATTCGTTTGAAAAAGCAAAAATCACTAAAATGGTAATTTCTTCATTGTTTATTGCATACCGTACATCGTCAAAGAGTTTCATTAATTTATATTAATGCTACTCCCAAACTGGTACCCTATTTGCATTTTGTTTATTAATTTGTTGTTTGCAATGTATTTTATTAATTTATCGATCATAATCTTGTCTAAAATTTTACTAGAAGAGCACAGAATGTTTGTTGGTCTGTAGCCAGTGAATAACGTTGGTCTTCTGGAGGGAGTGGTGCGATAGATAATACTCTCCTTAGATATATTTGGATTATATAGATTAGATTGTATATACATCGATTGTATGTGTGAGGAAGTACTACACAAGCATCTCTTTTAGTCCTACTGCGTCTGAAGATCGCTTTTAATACACCATTCGCAGTGACTTCACCCATCCCTTAAATTTTTCGATCGTATATTTAGATGCTAGATCAGTATATGTTTTTAAGATTTTAGGAAGAAATAGTTTTTACAATTATTTCTTCTAAACAAGGTATGGTCGACTGCAGGACTATTTACGTACTATGCCGTGTTTGTAATTTGGACTGGGACGAGTAGACATGTTGCCAACATTCAATGACATAAGTCTCTCAGATCGCTATGCCATATTCTGTAAAAATTTAATTAATTAAATATACCAGGCAATACTGCAACTCAGTGATCGTTTTAAAAATGTCCGTTCGCGACAGAAGAATGAGAAAGACGTCGTCGGTAGAATGAATGAATGTGGTGAATTAACATGTGGTGACACGGATAAAGGATATACAGTTTGTTATCAATTTAGGACGGGATCGGTTAGTTAAAATTAGTTAGTGATAGTCTACTGCACTGACCGTTGTACAGTCTGAAATCGACCTAGGTAAATCGAGCACACATTTTTATTTTCATCAGGCGTACTTTTGAAGACAAATATGCCCTTGAAAGCAGACAGCACTTAACATAAAAGTCTAAAGTATCGGGCTGTTTCAATGGGTATTTCATTTTCAATGCGTGCATTGTTAAAATTCTGCAATGATTTTCATATCGATGAATAAGGAAAGACCTGGATGACATGGTGGGCCGTCTGGATAGATCTTCCATCCGTACCGTGGTGGGGCGTCCTACCCGAAAATAAAACCATTAAACTAACACCGGGTCATGGCTGTGACTAAGGAACTAACGATAAAAATCAATTTTACCGACATTGGGCGTTCATTATATGTTAATTTGTTTTTAAGTATTTTCCACTTGAGTCGAAACCGGGCTTTCCAAAACCATTTATCAATTGCCGAAAGAAATTTCAATTAGTTTTCACCACAAAACTTACTTTATTAACGATGGCCCTTTGTTTGTTCATTCAGGAGAAAATGCCAATAAATTAAGAGAGAAAAATAAAGATTTTCTATTCGGTTAATTTGTTAGAAACCTTAAATTCTCAACTGACGATCTGAATTTCCAAACTCTGGCGTCTTCAAAAGTAGAAAATACCAATTTGAGAAAACGTGCTAATCTTGATGAATTGGAATTGAATCTACAGATATTATTTTTAGCAGGGAACAATAATAGCCTTTAGGTTAAGTTAGATGAGGTTAGGTTAAGTTAGGTTACGTTACATAAGGCTTTTACATGTTATATAAATAAGGCTTTTGAGCTGAAGATGGCACTCGTGAAGTATCGAAACGTACACTAATAAGAAATTAAAATAACTGAGAAGAGTTTCAAATAATACCTACTATTGTACTATTGATCAACTTTGGTTAATTCGTTAGCAAATTGAAACACTTAGATTTAAGTTAAGTTTAGGTTGAGATAGGTTAGTTTTAGATTAGGTTAGGTTCATATGAGGTGGCTACAAAACTTGTATTAGCCTCCTTAGGCCCGATAGTAGTACCTCAATTATATTCATTGGGCCATGAGTAGAAACATTTGCCATTCACAGTACTTAGATGTAATATGTACTGAGGTTTTCTCTTCTTTTGGCAGAACCTACACAGGCTGTTTTCTTCTACTTCTAATTTTTATTCGTGCAGTTTGGTCCTGGTTTGGTCGTTACCGAACATTTTGGTCTGTCTATTTTCGCTGCAGTCTGTCAGGCCAACTCAATAGGCGGCCCAAAATTATCGGTAATGACCAATACTATTTAAGCATCGAGTGTGTTAGTTTGCTGGGGTATGTGTTTTGTCTTGCTGCCTGTGTAAATCTGTTTGCACCGTGGCCAGCTGAACCCAATCTAGTTTACCAGCTGGCAATAGTACGTTGATCATCTGCTGCATCAGATGGAGAAGATTTTTTTCCTATCAGAAACAGAGCGTATCAATGCGAAACCGGCACTTATATTGCATTACTGTTGTTCAAGCAATTCAGCAGCTCCAAGAAGTTCGAGGTGTCCAAATTTCTGAACGCACAGCTCGAAGAAGATTAAGTAGTATGGACTGATAGCTTTTCGCCCAGTAAGAGGACCAGAATTGACCAGAACACACAGAGTGGCACGGCTCGCATTTGCTCAAGAACACAGCCATTGGTCTTTGGACGATTGGTCTGCTGTACTTTTTACAGATGAGATAGATTTGATCTACGATTTCCAGATGGGGGGGCGTGAAAGAATGTGGAGAAGGCGAAATGAAAGGTACGAAGCCTGTAATTTTTCCCAGAGTCAACCTTTTCAACGTAACTCAGTGATGGTGTGGGCGGGAATTTCAATGGAGAGTCGCACAGAGTTGTTCATGGTGGGTCTTTGACGGCCACTCGCTATGCGGATGAAATTTTGGAACATCATGCGTTGCCTATCCTCGATAAAATCAGCGACAATCCTATTCCAAGTCACGATAATGCCCGTCCACATGTCGCTCGCGTAGTACAAACGGACCTTCAACAGCATAACATCAGGGTCTTAGCCTGGCCAGCCACTTGAACAATCGAACATTTATTAGGTAACCTCATAAGACGAATAAGAGCACGTCCATAACTCTGATACACAACAAGATCTTGAAAGGACTTTTCGTGAAGAATGGCCTAACCTCCAGCAAAGAGACATTTCCAGACTGGAAGAAAGTATGCCGAGGCGTCTTCGAGATGTAATTAAGGCAAGAGGAGGAAATACGCGATATTCAAATGTTAATTAAAACTCTAAAACAAATTTTATCTGTCCATCTCACTGTTTTAGACAAAGACTCAATTATTAAATGTTAAAAACGTGAAACTTTGATTAATATATACAAATCAAGTTATATTACAAGTGAGTGCAATTTGTTGCCTGTCAGTGTGTATTTACTCACGTAATTCGTATTTGTACGTTTGTTTTCTGAATAATTTGTGAATCAATGGTTCGAATTGCGCGGGCGATGCTCAGCCCTTGATTCCAGCTAGTTCCGACAGAGCAAACCGTCCAGTGTTCTTTTTTGCATTTGTTTTATATTATTCTCATTTGTCGTCTTGTTTTCACTTTTGACGTATAATAAATCGATTAGAAATTTCCAGCTGTTATTTTTATTCAAGGAATTAAGAAACCACGAAAGACGGTTCTTAACGCGATGCCATGGATCTATTTTATATTCCAAAGTGTTGCGAAATTAATTATTCTCAATCATTCGCATCCTTTATTAATCTCTCAATCATTATTGAATTGTTTTTTATAAAATTGTTTATATATTTTTCGCCGCGTCGAGATCCAATTTAGCGTTTTGTGGATGACATCATGTGAGAATGCTAAAATTAGAAGGACGTCTGAACGCATGCGCCATGCTCACTCGGCATACGCTCTCATTCATGTACCTTCAGTATGTTTTTATGAGTTGCCTTAATTACTTCTTTTGTTCCTGAAGTGAAACCCTTCGGATTTCGAACCCCCCGATCGTGGACAAATGTTTCGAAAATAAGTTTTCAGTTCGCCCAATTCAACGAGCACAGATGAAGATAGTAAATCCCCGGGACTTATTTTAACCGCAGTTTTGAAACCGTTATGCCAGTTTACGAGTAGGTCTCGTTTTCCCTCGTCTCGGACAAAAGGAGCCTTTTCCATTTGATTCACATGCAATACGAAAATAACCGCTAGACAGGTAACATTTATTTATTTTATTATTTTAACAAAAAAAATTGTGTTTTGTTTTAAATTGTCGAACAGAAAGAATCGGTTGAGCGGGGAAATGTGCTTTTTCGTATTTTCGCGTTTGTTTAAAATCTACAAAAGGGGCATAAATAAAGTCTTAAAAAAACAAAAAAAAAACAGCTTCACTTTTTCTTTTCAGGTAATACACGCTCGCGTTCGTATTTTTCAACGCGTTCCTGACTTATATACGGATCTAATTTCTTTCTCGTTTCTTTTTTCTATTTATATACAATTTTACAAACTTCGCAAGGACGGGGAAAACAGGTCCCTTCGGTTTCCTCGTACGATAAATACGAATCCGGGCAAATACGCCTTGAGAAAATAGAAGGTTTTTTTACACGCTATTTACACGTTTCACAATTTGTAGGCGGCGATCAAAATTCGACTTTAGTAAAAATTCAAAAACAATTCCAATATCGGCTTCTCGCAATTAATCAATTCTATATTTTAACTAAGAATGTTGAATGACGAATGGAGTTGCCGGCAATGGATTTTTTTTTTTTTTTTTAGTTAGTTTAAAACCGTACTTAACCGCTGAGTTCTCAAGTTTCGAAAATTCATAAGTACGAGATTTAAGAATCTCCCGTCGAATCATCTCATTTTATTCGGCAGTAAATCGCGTTTCAAGTTAAAATAAATTAACCGTTACGATAAAAGTGTTCCATTATTTAAAGGAACTATATTGATATTCTCATTGTTGAAAATATGACAGTGCTTTATTTAGATTGACTCATTCTAAATTATAAACAAATACTGATAGATCTCGTTAAAAAAAAAATTATAAAAACAACATTACCACATATTTGGGCCTGATATAGATAAATTTCAAGGATAAATTTCACTTTGTGGTTTAAATTTTGTTTGTATACATTTTCTAAATAATACATACTAACGATATCTGAATAAATACATATTAAATTGTATGTATGCAGTTGTGCCAACTCACAAGGATAACTGTTTCCTTCAGTTCGTTGAATCCTAAATTCAAAATTACACCATTATTTTACACCATATACACGGCTCAAAGGAGGCGATAAAACCCCAATCTTATTAATCAGTTATATTTGTTAAAATTTAACTAACAGCTTGTAATAGATTCTGTTTATATACATTTTCTAAATAATACATACTAAATTGTATGTATGCAGTTGTGCCAAATCACAAGAAAAACTGTTTCCTTCAGTTAGTAGAAGTGGGAACACTGCTCAAAGGAGACGATAAAACTCCAATCTTATACAATATAGTATGAGTTATTGATATGTTATATTTGCTTAAATTTGACTAACAGCTTGTAATAGATTTTGTTTATACACATTTTCTAAATGATACATACTAAATTGAAATGAAGTTGTGCCAACTTACAAGGAAAACTGTTTCCTTCAATTTCTATCATTTGCAAAATTTCAGTTTTACCACACTTAACATGGCTTGAAGGAGGCGATAAATCTCCAATCTCATTTACACTATAGCATAAATTTGACTAAAAGTTTACTATAGATTTTGTTTATATACATTTTCTAGCTAAAACATACAGAATTACATGTATACAGTTGTGCCAAATTAGAAGGAAAACTCTTCCCATCGGTTTCTATCATTCCTAACTCTGAATCAAAAGCAAGAATTATTTTTTCAACAAAGTTTAGGTTTTAAAAAAAAATGAAACACCAATGTCATTAATTTCATTTTCTAACTAATACCAAGTAAATGGAATGTATGTACGTATTTGAAATTGTGCCAACTTACAAGGATAACTGTTTTCTTTCATTGAATCCTAAACCTGAATCTGGCCAAGTTTTCAGTGAAAATTGTTTGTTCAACAAAGTTTAATTTGAAATAATAATAATAATAACTTCAATGCCATTAGCAGTTTATTATTGATTTTGTTGTACACTTTTCTTACCAATACATACTGAATTGTATGTAGCACTTGTGCCAACTTACAAGGATACCTGTTTCCTTCAGTTCGTTGACTCCTAAATCTAGATCGTGCCAAATTCTTCGAGCAAAAATTATTTGTTTGATACATTTCAGTTTTATACTGTTCACCTGGGTTGAAGGTGGCGATGGAACAGCAATCTCATTAATACGTTATAGATGTTATATGTTTATATGCATTTTAAATTGTATGTATGCAGTTGTACCAACATAAGGACAATTAAAAATTAATACATTAGAAAGCGCATACTTTTGACTAACGGCTTACTATAGATTTTATGCATATTGTATATTTTGGAATATACTGAATTGTTCAGTTGTGCCAACTTAAGAAAAACTTTTTCCTTCGGTTTCTATTGTTGCTAAATCTGAATCTGGACAAGTTTTGAAGGAAAGTTGTTTGTTCGACAAAGTTTAGTTTGTATAAAAAGCAATGAAACTCCAATGACATTAATACATTAGAAAGCGTAGATTTGGCTAACGGCTATTATCGTTGGACCCTAAATCTGAATCTGGCTAAGTTCTTCGAGCAATAATTATATGTTCGAAAATTTTCAGTTTTCCCACATAGTTTACACGGCGTGAAAGTGGCGATAAAATAGCAATTTCATCGATGTAATAGAGATGATAAAATTGACTAACAGTTAACTATAGATTTTGTTTGTACACATTTTCTTACCAATACTTTCAGTATTGCATATACGTTGTTGTGCCAACTTACAAGTAAAGTTGTTCCTCTCTGTTTTCATTGTTGAGTCCTAAATCTGAATCTAGCCAAGTGAGTTTTATAAATATAATTGCCAGACTAATTTTAGTTGGAAAAAGAAAAGCTTTGAAACTCCAATCTCGCTCGTTAATACATTTGATAGCATAAATTTGACAGTGTTGATTTTAGGTTTTTTACGATTACTTTTTTTTCCCAAATATATTTGAGTTTTATTCGTTTTCTTTCTAATTGGCATGAAATAGTCTATAAGTCTATATGCAATTTTACAAACAGTCAAGAATGAAAAAAAATTTGTTTCTTACATATGTTCTAATTTATATATACACACACACACACACACACATATANTATATTAATAGGAATTAATATATATATTAAATTCCTAAAATAAAGTTGTATAAATTCCATTTCTTACTATTTTAGTAAATTTTACCTTGAATGTATTATTTTACCAACATATTTGTTAGGTGTTTTGTATCCCCTGCTCCCCTTGTTGTAATGGCTTTAATCAGAAGATTAATTTGTACAGATGTCAATTTGTGCCTAATAAGGAAATACATTACTTCCTTTATTAATGAAATTGTTCTTTCTCCAAGACCTTGTAAGAATGACTTTCGACAAATGTAATCATTGTGTTGGAATTGCCTTCAGTCCACCTATAACATTCTATTCGTCACTTTCGCTCTGTCAGATTCCGTTATAGTTGTATGAATTTATTTTTACGATGATTTTTATAATTTTGACACTCAGTGTGGAGTCGTTTTGATTTTTTGGTATGCTTGTTTCTAAATCTCATAAATAAATTGTTTATTTTGCTTAATGGTTCTAACTTTCATTTCTTGATTGTGTCTTCTCCCTATCCACATGCACATAGAAAATTTTTGTTTTGTTTCATTTTTTAAATTAAAACCCAATTTATCTGTTACAGGTTATAGGATGTTAATTTTTTTACTTTGGATCTGAAAGTATGGGAACTTTTCTGGACAAACCAAAAACAGACAAACATAATGAACATGGATGTGGAAACGGTTTACGGTACGGCGTGGCCAGCATGCAAGGCTGGAGGGTGGAAATGGAGGATGCACATCACGTGAGGACCGGCCTCGGCGAGAAGTTGGACGATTGGTCTTTCTTCGCAGTTTTTGACGGGCACGCAGGGGCGACTGTTTCGGCACATTGTGCGAACGAACTGTTAGAATGTATAGTGTCAAGTGATGAGTTCAAACAAAGTGAAATAACTGAAGGTATTAGAACTGGATTTTTGAAGCTTGATAATTCGTTGAGGGCGAAACCGGAATTCGCCTGCGGTCAAGATAAAGCCGGCTCGACGGCAGTTTGCGCTTTAGTAAGTCCGAGACAGGTGTACATAGCGAATTGTGGTGATTCGAGAGCTGTCATTTGTAGATCCGGGGTACCCAGCTTCTCGACAAGAGACCACAAACCAATGTTACCAAGTGAAAAAGAAAGAATAACTAAAGCCGGGGGTACAGTTATGATTCAAAGAGTTAATGGAAGCCTTGCTGTTTCTCGTGCTTTAGGTGATTACGAGTACAAAAATGTGGAAGGAAGAGGACCTTGTGAACAACTCGTTTCTCCAGAGCCAGAAGTTTTCATACAGGTATTTCTCAATTATTTTGTTTATTTTATCTTATTTTTATATTACAATATACAAAAATTTGTGAACAAATATGTTGAATGTTTCGCCTTAAATAATAAGCGAATGAACATATTTTGTAGTCCAAAGCAAAATAAATTAAAATACAAAGTTTAAACTTTAGAAATAGAATATGATTTTTCTGAATGTTAAGATTAAGAAGCATATGAATTTTACATTATGGTACTTGAGGTAGATAAGTGGGATTGCTTAATTGTTAATGTTATATAGCATTTTTCAGTAAAATTAATAATTTTTTCAACCAATTTAGTAATCGTCTCAACAAATTTAATAATCGTTTCATTCAATTTAATAATCATCTCAACCAATTTAATAATCATTTCATTTGATTTAATAATCATCTCAAGTAATTTAGTGATCGCCCCTTTCAGGATTTTATAGTCAGGGGCGAAAATAAATACGAGCTAGTAGTTTCGAAAACCTTTATTTAAATTTTTAAGTAGTAAAATTATTTCATCAAAAAATAGAAATATTTGAAGGTAACAGCTCACTCTTTTGCGATTTTTTACATGAGCTACAAAACTTGATGGGCTTTCATTATGTAATGCATTTCTAATTATGGAAAATGCCAGGATCCATAAAACTGCTGAAGTTAAAGAGGTTGTGGAATCATTTTCTCATAAAATTATTTTCCTGCCGCCATACTCACCAACTGTAAACCCTGCAGAGTATGCATTCTTCAAATTAAGACAGCTCGGAGGACCCTGTTAGCTGAAGTCGAAGGAACTCATAACTTAAGCGAAATAATAAGCTGCAGTGTCAATTCCATTCGGGCACCGATTGCAACAATTGCGTAATGGGTGTCCTTTTAAAGCTGCTGCAGGTCTACAACTCCATTAATTGATGTTAAAATTATCATTTTTCAAAGATTTTTATTTTTTGTTAAAATAATTTTACTTTTTTTAATTAAATAAATGTTTTTGGAACTTCTAGCTTGTATTTATTTTCTCCTCTGACTAAAATCCTGAAAGGAACGATTATTAAATTGAATGAAACTATTATTAAATTGGTTGAAAAAAATTATTAATTTGACTGAAAAATGCTATATAAAATTGTTTGGATTTTCTAACCATTCAAATATGTCATCAATCAGCACAGACATCATTATTGTCAAATGAAAGTCTCTGCAAGAAAACAAAATTGTCTCAGGTTTATATGAATTGTATGTGTACAGATCATTTATATTTCTGTCTGTGAAAAATGAGGTTGAAAGACACCACCCCCCAACCAACAACCCCAGGACATACACACAGATTGACCAAAATTGATGTATATTCGAGTAAATTGTCATCAGCAAAAATTGTGCATATTAATGAACTAAAAGCTAGTACTAGTGATCGTGGATCAAGTTAATTAAATTTTAATAAAATGCGAGGTTCAAAAATTGTTATATATTAATCCTTTGATTTTCAATGCACATTGATGATCTTGTAATAATAATGAAATTTGAAACAGTAGTAATTGTTTTATCAGCCTGCCAATAAAAACTCATAATTTTGTTCAATTTAAATTTATTGCCCATGTTATAGTAAGAAATCAGTTTTTGGAGTCTTGCGATTTAACTCGAATAAGATCTTAACATTAAAGAAACAAAACATTTAAGGATTTTGTGTATTACATTTTTTAATATATGTGTAAAATATTACAAATGTTATTTGGTCACAACAAAAATTGTTTAAACTGTACAAACTTAAGTGTAATAGGTTGTATATTTTATTATCAGCCTGAATTGTCCTTTTAATATCTATTTTCGTGTAAATTATTTCTTTATATTGGATCAGCCCATTTTTTATTCTGACAATTGCCTATNTGATATATATATATATATTATGAATAGTAGTTATTTTAGTCGTTAAGAATGTGAAATGGTGGAAATTGTATTTTTAATTTGAGATAAAAGCCAGCCCACTGTTTATTTTCTCATCGTTTATTGTTCGAAGTCATTTTATTGTTTTGACAAAGCTTTGAATTGTATCGCGATTTTTATTTAGCAAGGATTTCTTTAGATTAGCAAAGATTTCAACGAATAATGAACATTTCTTAAAATTTACGCAAGCAAGTGTCCTTTTTTAGGTATTTTGTGGAACCCCCATTAAAAGCCTTATGGTGCTTGCGAAAGTGTGCTTTTTCTTAAAAAACTATCTACCTTCCTCAGTGTTTCATTGAACACTTGTCTTAGTGTGTGCCTTACCGTATTGGCTATACCATATGCAAGGTAGGGCTTCATATTCACAAAGGATGTGTTGTGATGTCTCTAGTTTCTCTTGACAGATTTTGCATGTTTCTGTCTCTACTTTGTTCATCTTCTTTAGATGGTAGTTAAGAGGGTTTAGTGGTTTATAATATTCCTCAAACCTTGCTTGCTGAGAGTGATGAGAGACTTCGCCTTCCTTTTTGAGAGATTTAAGAATATCTCAACTCATTTTTTTCCCCTAGTGTTTGTGTTTGTCTTTCTCAAGCCATTTTTCCAGTTCCAACTATAATTATAGTTATTCCAACTATAACTATTCCCCTGTTATTTTGTTGCGATGTGTGAGAGGGCGCTCCTTTGCCTAATTGATCAGCTTGTTCATTAGTGTTCTGGAACCCAAAGTAACCTTATTGTGTTCTATGACTAATAAGAAATTTAAAAACTTCCACCTGTAGATTAGTTTGTGCTGCTAAAAGCATTAGTACCTTTATTGCTGCCCTGAAAGTATGTAAATCGACAGTGGTGACAGGCAGACCAAAATGATTGGTAACAACCAAATTATAAAATAAAATTGTTTCACTGCACAATGTGAAAATAATGTTTGATGATATATATACTTGATTTTTAAAAATTATTCTTATAGGCATTAATAAAACAGCAGAGTAACTCAGAATATCAAGCATTAAAAAAAAAATATATATATATATGTACTGAAATAAGAAATGTACTTTTAATCATTCATTATGGTTTTGATGTGTGTGTATTACTTTGGACAAGAGATAGACAATTTAGCTTAACTGTTATGAACGTTTTGGATCTGTTTCTTTAGTTTGGGTTCATTTTCAATTTTATTATAAGTCAATGATTTTACTCTTGGTCTGAGTTGCATAATAAGAAGTTGAATTGAATTTCTTCTTATCGGTTCGATCAAGTCATCAAGTGGTATGACTGTTTACTATTGTAAGCAATAATCACAATCAAATCCGAATAAAGCTTCGTCACCACACTTTTATTCTAGATTAAGGATGAATTGTATATTCATTTTTGATTACACATTCATTGTATAACATTTCATTTGTTTGTATAAATTCAGTGTTATCTACTATGACTGTTGATGCTATTGTTAAAAAACTGTACAAGTGATTTAAATTGAGATAATTATATAAAAAGTGGGTTTTTGTTTTTCTCGATTTTAGGACAGAGATGCAGAAAACGATGAATTCATGGTATTAGCATGTGATGGAATCTGGGATGTTATGTCAAATGAAGATTTGTGTAAATATGTTAGATCTCTTTTGTTGCTGACAGATGACTTAGAATCTGTTACAAACCAAGTGATCGACACTTGCCTCTATAAGGTGAATGTTAAACAATTATAGTTAAAGGGTTCTGATTTTTTATTGGTGTGATATGTGATTTTAGGGGAGCCGTGATAATATGAGCATTGTTTTGGTTATTTTCCCTGGAGCTCCAAAACCATCACCTGAAGCCATAGAGAAAGATCACGCTCTCAATCTAAAGTTAGAGAGAATGGTTAGAGGTAAGCTATAAATTCAATTTGTTATGAATGCATACTACATTATATTTTTATATAGTTAAAAAAAATGTTTAAATCCAATTAAATCAACACAAAATGAAAACAAACTATAAACAATAAAAAACATAGTGCAGAATAGCGATAAAAAAAGCCTACTCGCACTTACAAAAATATCAAAAGGGATTTTCTGTAGCAGATAATTTTGCACAAGCTCATCTAGGTTCCAAAAAACGCAGGTCTGTCCTTGTCCAAACCTGGTCCAGAAGAAAGCGAGACTCCTTCTATTGTCCTTGAGTCAATGATGCCCGATAGTACACGATAATTTGAAAACTCGGATATAAAAAATCTTAACACATTTAAGCATTAAAAAAAACTCATGAAAACAAACATTAACAGCAGTTCACACATAGCGTTTACACCATTCAAAACACTATACCAATTAAAAAATAAAAAGACAAGCCAGAACAAAAAAAAATTGTTTTAGATACTGTAGCGGCCAAGTGGTTAGGGCATCTGACTCGTATTTGTCTAACAGTTCTGAGTCTGAAGCCCTTCAGAGCCCATAGATTTTTAATTGATCAGAGTAAGGAAAATGTAAAGTGGTTTGGTAGTCCAACAAGTAGTTAGCCCTGTATGATAGGAATTAATTTATTTTACTTTAAAAAATAAAATAATTTTATTGCCCTAACCACTTGGCCACTACAGTATCTAAAAAAAACCACCAAAGGCACCTAAAAATAAAGATCAATATATGTAGACCACCCTCAGCAAATGCTGAAACACTTCTGACATACGAACACAGAGGATAGTCAGACCTGGACAATCAATAATCACCAAATAACAAATTACATGCTAATTAATTTTACTTTTATGCTTGTGCAAACCTTCAAAACACATTTTCATGATTGACTATAAGATTTCCTCATATTTATCATTTATGTTTCAGAAATAATTGGAAACAAGGTGGACATGGATTTTAGCATTCTGCTGGCTCATTTGTCTGAAGAATGTATTCCTGACCTACCCCCAGGAGGAGGTTTGAGCGCAAAGTAAGTTTTACAATTCTGCAATCACATTTCTTACACAACATTCGGTCAAGTTTTAATTGAATTAAAATTTAAACATGCAGATGTCACAAAAATCATGAGTAATTGTTTTAATATCGTGTTCCAGGAGATCATTAATTGAAGCGGTTTACAAAGAGACTTGTCCTCAAAATGCAGATACTGTAAGTGCATGTGCATGAAATCAGCACCTAGTAGAAAATAATTATTGTAAAAGTACAAGGCTACTATGTTATGCATTTTTGTAATACCATACTATGTGGCTTTTGAGTATAGGACACAGTTTAAAAACACTCTCATGAACACTTATTAGCAAGTGCTTTGTAAACTTAATTAGTCACTAAGTGTACTTCAGAAGAAATTACTTAAGCAGTGTTATTTTTGTAAATACCATTTTTTGTTAATGGTTAACTTCAAAAGTTAAAGGTCATCGTGGATCTTCAACAATACATAAGTTTTAGTTTTTATCAAATGAAACAGTTCAAATGGTCATTTATTTTGTGTTTCTTGTTAAAATAGTTTTTTTAAATGATTACAACATATTTGAGCTTAAAGAACTAGTTAGTTGAAATGGTTCTTATTATTTTTATTATTTAAAAGAAAACATGTATAGAGTCTGACTGATGTGTGTGTAATTAACTTGCTTGATTTGTTCTCCCTATTCATATGGTAATATGAAACAGAACAAAATTAGATTGTAACATGTACCTTATGAATTATAATCATATATCATACATCAAAGTACCTAAAGTGTTTTAATTTTGAAAGATTTCTTGTTTTTGTGCCTTTCCAAACCAATATCATTAGAGTACTATAATTGTATGTAAAATTACAGTATATATTTTAAAAAGATTAATAAATATGGCTAATATACCTCTTTGATTATTATTGTAATGTTTCCAAATACCCCTTGAGCTTAATTTTACTTCCAAGATGACCATATTGTATCTCAGGGACGTTTTAAGATCTCTTTTAGTCATTTTTCTTATAATTTAAAAGGATTATGCTCAGTAAGACTTCACTTATCATCAAATTTGTGTTTGCTTTTTAAAATATTTACTTACTAACTAAATTATACTTGTTGAATTTATAGATATACCAATCAATAATTCAGTTGATTATTGTATAAAATCAAATTATTTTTAAAATACAAATTTTTAAACATAATTTTTTTCAGCCTTTTATTAGTTTTCATATTATAAATACTATCTCAGTTTGTTTTAGAAAAATTGTCGTAACATTTTAAGAAGCAATAGCTGAAGTTGTACTGAGTTTTTTTTCTTCTCTTACTCTCTATGAATTGAACACTCATTTCTCCACAAAAATAAAAGTAATTATTAGTGCAGTGATTGTAGGAACTTTTTATCGTTTATCTTCTTTCAGGTTATGTTGTGACATTGTTGGTTCATCTTGAGAATAATGTCAGGTAATAAAAGTCTGTCAGATTTGATAGGTTTTATTCTTTTTGCACCGTAAGGGTTTCGCTTGTTTACTCTATGATTCACGTTTTAAGTAGAATTTTGTTTTTAATAGAAAAACTTATCTAGCATGATTGTAAATTATTTTCTCGTACTCACAATTTTAGCCCTCTTTGAAACACTAGGAATTTTAAAAAGAACTATTGAAAATCATCTCTGGTAATATGTTATTGGTACTTTTTTTTTAAATACAGTTAATAAACAAAATTCGAACAGTGTGTCAGTTCATTAAAAGGTACTCAAGAAACCAATCAATTCAGTTTTTAGTTTTATTTGCTAAAACAACAATTTGGGTCGATGAGTAACATTTCAAGTTTTTGAACGTATTGTATGAATTAATGACTCATATAAATGGATTTTAAATTAATAAATCATACAACATAAGCTTTGACGTGTTTCCATTTGCCGTGATTTATCACCGATAAAAATTCTTAAGTTTATTTGTATTGATTCTTCATAATGCTGATTTTATCAGTTGATTTACATCATTTCTTCATGGCATTCATTCATACCGGTGTGTTATACATAATCAGAATATTGGTCAGTCCTTTTTAGTCTGAGCAGTATTATTGAGGCCATTCTCTACTCATTTTTATACCTATATTGTCTCAAGCTGCATCTTACTCTCCTAAGATAAATTTATAATATATACTACTTTACACTATTATTAGTGTAATTTAGGATAAATGGTTATTATAAATGCATTGACTGGCAAAAATTCCACCCACTTAATATTTTTTACTTTTTCTACCATAAAAACTTGCTCTTAATTTTTCTAATTTTTTTTTAACTGTTTATACTGTGTTCTATGCTGCTCATGCTGTGTTCTTTTGTTTCAACAAGTAAAAACATAAATTGCTAAGGAAAATTTAAAAGAGAAAAACAAACAACGATAAATTTCAGTTTTTTTAGGTTTTTAGACGCATTTCCTACTCTTTTTTGAAAAGATTAAACAACTTACTCACCTCACCTTTATCATTTCCGTTTCCTCCTCTTGCCTTACATCTTGAAGACACTGTGGCATACTTCCTACCATGTTATCTCTCTTTACCGGAGGTTGGCCCATTCTTGAAGAGACCTTTGTAGATCCTGGAGTGTATCAGGGACAAGCTCTTACTCATCTCCCAAGGATATCCCATACATGTTCAATGGGATTTAAGTCTGGAGAACTTGCAGGCCAAGCTAAGGACCCAGATGTTGTGTTGAAACTTTTAGACCGTGCAAGCTACATGTGGATGGGCACTATTGTATATTAGAATAGAATTTCCTCGCTCCTCTAGGATCGGCAACACAGTTCAGAAATTCCAACTACATAGTGAGCAGCCGTCAAAGTCGTCTGTGCGATTCTTCATTAAAATCCTTCCCCTCACCATTACAGAGCCATGTTGGAAATGTTGGCTCTGGATAAAATTGCAGGTTGCATACCTCTCATTTTGCCTTCACACTCTTTTACAACCATCTGGAGATGGTAGAGCAAATCTAGACTCATCTGTAAAAAAGTACAATGAAAAAGTATAACGACTTTGACTTGTTCTTGGGCAAAATGAAATTCTGATGGTCAGTTCTGATCCTCTGACTGGGAAAAAAGTCGTAATCTTATTCTCATTTAATTTTCTTTGAGCAGCTCAGAGATTTGTACACCTCAAAATTCCTGGAGATGGTGAATCACTTGAACAACAGTAAGTTGCCAGTTTGGTAAAATGCTCTTAGTCAAAAAAGTTTGTCTAAGGCATCAGAACCAACCCGTCTATGGTATGATCCTGTTCCACGAAAACACCTAACTGCCTCATAGTGTTTCATAGGGAAATACAATAGCACTGGCCACATATCAATGGAACGTTCATCATCGGTAAGTGCCACATCATGTGCAACATCCTCAGCACTAAGAAAATTTTGAAATTCAAAATTTAAATTAAAACAATTGCACAAAACTAAACAATCAATTTGATTAAACTGAAATGAGACAATAAATTTTTTAAAATCCATCTAAAGTAAACATAAACAAACAAAAGTAAAGTAAAGTAAACAGTTAAAAAATGAGAAAAATCAAGAATTTTTTATTGTAGAAAAAAATTAAAAATAAAGTGAGCGAAATTTTTTGCCTGTCAGTGTGTATTGGCTTTTTATATATTGTAGTGTATATTGTTGGAAGTTATAATTTCGATGTAGAATATGGATTTTTGATCTTGTTCAATTATCAACTCTGAAATTCACTGATATTTACATTTGTTAGCCTAGTGAATTATTGATATTTTTTAAAGGTCCTGATGAATTATATTCCTCGAAAGCTTGACCAACTGGTCTTATCTCTAATTTTTTAATACAAAAGTATTTCTATAAACTGATAAATAAACGTATATTGATCTATATTTATATAATGGTGTTCATTCGTTTCTTTCTCAAAAATAATAAGATGAAATATGTGAATCTATGAAACTTAAGTGCATTTCTGTTATGATGAAATGTTTTACCCTTAGACTGTTTTATAGTAGTGTTTAATATTATTATTATTATTAATGTTTTGTTATTACATAACATGTATTCAATAGTTATCATGGAGTGGATTGCATTCTGTTGAAACAGTTCATTATCCACCATGATATTAGTAAAAATTTCTCTGTTTCAAAAGGCAAAAAAATAAGTCTGACTTAAATTGTTTGTTGAATTGAGGTAGTCACTTCAGTTTTCCAGTTAAATTATTTAACATCAGACACTGTCGATTTTCCATGCAAAAGGCGAAAAGGCATCAATTTACTTGAAACTTTCAAGATCATGACAAGCACTATTTTTAGCATTGAACTTCTGTAAGTTACATGATTTTATTATATTTTACTGAGTGCAATAACACTTTTTTGTTTTTGTTGTTTCTTGAAAGTGCAAGCTTTTTTTTTTTTTTTTTTTTTTTTTTTTTTTTTTTTAGTTTTGTCTCAGCATTTTCCTATTGATCAAAAGTGCCAACCAAAAGTAAAAATCGTAAAAATCTGAGCAATTACAGCACTTATTTTGAAGGACAAACATTTGTTTTTTAATGATACAAAGTTGCAAACTTTTTTGATTGGGGATCTCATTTACATTGTATGCACTCATTGACAATTTATTAATTATGAAATATTGAAGTGGGGTCTGCAAAGGTATTCAACCTGTTGTTTGCTTGTCTGCCTATTTTCGCTGTCTGTTTTGACTGCCATATGCGTTAAAGCATTTTACCACCCTCATCAGTGTGTCTTATTTTGTCAGATTACTTAATGTTGCATTATGTATTCACATGCCCTGTGACTTATCATTAAGTCTCTGAAGATGATGAAACATCTCACAATGTGATGAACCAAGTCAATGAGAATAGGCAGATGGGTGATCAAGCTAAATTATAATTATTTTTTGTTAATAAACCAATATGTTGATTTCTTTCAAGTATTTTATTTAAGGAAGAGCTAAATGAACTAAATTGGTTCTGTCACTTGCTGTCCTAATTCTATCTATTAAAAATATAGAATCTATTTAAAATATATTTTTTTGGCTGGTTATGGGTTAAATAGTAACAAAACGTATGTTTATTATATTTTTCAGATGGACTGAAGAAGGCCTTTATGAACACGTATTGGTATTCAATATTTAGTCTCCAATAACGATTTTAATTTTCAACATTATCACAAAGGAAGGACAATTCACAACCCTTTATTTTTAAAATAATTTCAGTCTTATATTTTTGTTTAATTTTTGTCTTGTAATTAACTTCATAATGTGAAAATAAAGCAATTATTCTTATGTATTTTTTTACTACAATGGTCATCTTCAATAACCAATTACTATTTGTTTAAAAAGAACTGGAAAATGCGGTGGAAGAAAAAATTTTGAAAGGTAAGATTTTCTCTTGGCGGCCTACTGGGTGATGAACCTGCAGTTTGGTCATTTCACCACTGAAGATGGTGAGAATAAGATCAAAATAATCAGAAATGGTCAGATGAACAAAGTGCGTGACTTGTGGCTTGAGGATAAAATAAACCTAATGTTATGATCAGTGCCTCAAATGTTTATTGTTTGGTACTGCCACTAATGGCTTATGGGGATATAAAGAACAAGAGTCACTACATACTTGTAAAACAGAACTTGCTCTCAATATCCTCCAGCTATGTCTAAACTATTTTATAACTGAGAGCAGTTCATAGTTTAGCACAATGATTCACTCCTAGAAAGAAAACTGTGGCTTAGGTGGAGCAGACAAACTTTTAATTTAGAGCATTCAGCAAGGAAGTGAAATATTGTAGTGTTATAGAGAGAGCACAAGCCAGAGGGTCCTTCGACCCAGCAGGAATAATTTAACCATATTAGCTCACATCTCATTTTAAATATCCACTGCAAATTCAGATCCCGATTAGAATCGGAAACAATGTGGCAACAGAGAACTGTTTTATCAAGATCTTTATACAGCTGAAAGTGAGATGATGCCAGAACAAACACACCTCTTGATGTCGAACTGTTTTTACAAGAAGAGAGTCAAGATTACTGTTCCACTCAGAGATATTGATGCTGAAGTGGGGTGAAATATCTGCTCCATACACTATGTACTAATCAGTACATATTGCAGTTTTATAATTATCTCAACGGGAGAATTTTAGGATGTCAGGAATCAAGATTAATGGACATATTTAAAATGAAGTCTCAATGTGCATACCATCAATAGGTATATATACATGTTACTAGGAATTGATGAAAGGAGGCCAAATAGCGAAAGAAAAAAAATATTTATGGATTAAACAACACTTCATTCCAAATTGTGTGGGTTTGGAAGCTTGCTTGAACTTGAAGTCAAAGTTGTTCTAATGACATCTCTTGCTAAAAAAGTTTTATTTTTAAAAATTATGCTGTCAGCAGGGAGTAATGATTGGGAAAAAATTGTGAAATGTTTTATAAATGAATTAATTTTTCGATAAAAACTGCATATTTTCTTCATTTCATGGAAAAACTTGAGTCATATCCTTCACCTGACCTAACCTAACTCTAACCCAACCCTATAAGCAGAAATAATTGAGGTGGGGTGAGTATAACAATAAACTTTTGGAAAGGATGGTTCTACACACAAATTAGTTTTAACATCTTCGAGATTAAAAGCTCATCATCAGACTGAAACATACAAATGTCAGTCAACTTCAATTCACGTTGAAAAATGTGTTTGTAATTTGTATATTTCATCCTGACGATGGGAGTTTAATGCTCAAAATCTGGATAGCTGTTAAAACCAGTTTATGAGTAGAACCATCCTTTCCAAAAAGTCAACCCAAGTCAGCGCTTCCCAGGAAAGCAAAAATGACTATGAAAAAAATTTCTGTATCCAGCCCAAAAATATTTCCATGTTAAACAACTATGACACACCATATTCAATGCAAAGAAACATAGTAGCTATTTATGTATTTGATCTTGACATAACATTTTTTTTTAGACTGGGAATTTAAGCCAGTTTTTAAATTTATCTATTTCAAGACAACCCCGTCCCACCTTTGCAACACCTTCCCATGGTCTGGAAGAAGGTTCTACATTCAACATGCTTCCAGACCACAGGAAAGTGTCATTGACGAGGGGACAGGGTAGTCCCAAAATATATACTATCTTTTAAATTTAAAAAAAAACTAGTTGTTTCATAAAAACATACACGATCTACAATATTGAATGAACTACTTATTCTTCTTATTAAAAATTCTTGGAATTTTTTTTATAACTCATAGAACTTGATTTTTTTGAATTGTTTATTTACAACCGAGGTGAGCGAGTAATTAGGGTGTCTGACTTGTATTTGCCACACTTGCCATTCTGGGTTCAAATCATGGCTTTTTAATAGTGAATAATATGAAATAAGTTTTGTAAAGTGGTTTGACCCCTCATCCACGACACAGTTGGAAGTTGAGCACTTTTATATTTGGAATTAATTTACTAATTGTTAATCAAACATTAATTAGTCAATTTAATCTAATACATAATTACAGCGATTTCAAAACTAACAAAAATATGTTGTTTTAATATGGATATGTTTTGGGGCTGGATACAGAAATTTTTGCTGTCATAATTTTCGTATAGATTGGGTTAGGAATGGTGGGGTTAGGTAGGGTGTGGGTTAGGTTAGGTAGAGTTAGTGTTATGTATATCCCTGAAGAGGAGAAAATACTTCAAAATAATTATTGAAAAACTAAGGCAATTCTTATTTTCTGAGAGGTGCATTCTTAGGGATAGCATTATTAATGTATATACTACATTAATGCAGTATACTAAAGTGTCACACAAAATTTTTTCTTAAGTTTCTTTCAGTATACTTCATGCAGTGTACTTATTTTGATGTTATTTACTAAACAATTAAAAATTAATGGTAGATATCTATCCAAATTATGATGTACCAATTGCTTGGTATTTACAAATTACTTAAGAAAATTAATTATGTATAGTTAGTTGTGGTATACATTTTAAAAGTGAATTAAATATCTAGTAGGCAATGAGTCATAAAATATCTTTAACCACTATGATTGTGTGTATACGCATATGGTGGTATAAATACTACAAATTGATTCCAAAATGGTTTAATTTGTTTTTAAAATTAATAGCTATTAAAAAACTAACTTAATTGCTGTATTGTGTATAGCATAAACTTTAGTTAGTCTGGTATAGAAATAGGCAAACTAGGAGAAGGAACAATGATATAACCAAAATGAAAAAATATAATAAAATTTAATTTCATCACAAATTCATTAACAAAACAGCTTTCAACATCACAATTTAGAACTTCATTGATTTTTTTTTCTTAGATATCTTAATCATTCACACATTTAATACAATTTTACTATCATACAAAGAAAATAAATATTTTAAATAATTATTCATTAGAGATAACAATAATTTCATTTTGTGGCTGTATTTTGTCAATTCATCAAAGCACTATCAAAATTGCAAAAGAACAAACTGAAAGAATAAGAATTGTCACATAAGCTGGGTTTGAAATATTTTGTCTAGCATTAATGCCCGTACAAAAATAAAATGTTTATACACAAATACAAAAAAATTAATAAAACAATAAATATTGGTTCTTAATGGAATTAATTATATGAATATACAAAAAATAAAATTAAGTCTTATTCCAGTTAATAAAAATATGGTTATCACATCAATAATATTGTAATGCCATTTAAATTTCTCAATAGTGTTTTTTTTGACTAGATATCAGTTAAATCTTTTCTTTGAATTCAATCAACTCATGTAACCACTGGGTTTCCAAATGAAACCCTCGTGTTTGGCAAAAGTCATCAGTTCCTTTGTCCTATCGTTACTAATGGCAATGTTAACGATATCAACATGGGGTCCTAGTTGCTTAATAAATTCTCCAGTTTCAAGATTTATAACATTGACATGGTGTTGCGATGGCAGATAAAGTAGTACGGGCTTAGACTCCATCTCAATGAAATACTTGCACCTTTTTCTAGATTTCTTGAGGTTAAATCCCGTTATTTCTCTAATACTTTTACAATTTAATATATCCCAAACGACCAATCTATTCAGTCCGCATAGGACAACAACACTAGTGCGATCAAGAAATCTTATTTCAGGTACAACAATCGGAGACATATTTATGCCTAAATGAAGAGGGGTTTTGTGCGATCTAAGATCCCATAAGAGGACTTCTGACGTATTTGCCGTCATTATCAAGTCAGAATCAGTCTGAGACCAACTCAACGCGGTTACTGATGTAGTGTGACCTTTGAATCCATTCAAGGCAACATTCCCAGTTTTTAAATCAATTATTGCAATTGATTTTAGTGAACTTGCAACTGGAAAATAAAACATATTACATATCTGTAGGCACTACTTTAAACTACAACCCATATACAACAAAACAATAATCATACATACAACAGAATTTGATTAAATACAAGCTTTAAAAAATATGCCTCTTTCATTTATTTATTTTTTTAATTCATCATAATTGAAGAGAAATGCACACTTTTAAAATAATTCCACAAAATAAAAATAAATTCAACTAATTATTTTTTAATAGATGTTGGGTTTTGGTCTGTGAGTGAGTGAACTCATGTTGAACCGGCACGCGGCCACTTGCAGGTTTTTTTGTTTGAATAACTCAAACAAAAAACCCATGAGCGGAGACAGACCCAGTCAGTGGCCATGTGCCAGTTCAACATAATTATTTATTTAACTAAAAAAACGGAGAGCTTTAGTGAAGTGTACTTCATTTTAATCAATTAAATTCACTATTTTTTGTGGTCCGCTTGACCAATTAATAACATTCAATTTGAAAATGGCAAAAAGAGGGAGAATTTGAACGGTTGTAGGTTGAGATGGAAAGTTGGTGTCCGAAAGGATCCAAGTCACGATAGCTCAAGTGGTAGAGTAACGGCGTATCAAGCATAGGTCATGGGCTCGAATCCCGCTCGTGACACTGACTTTTCTATTGCAACTTAAAACCTTAATTAATTCAATGTTATTAAATGGTCAAGCGGACCACGAAAAATAGTGAATTTAATTGTTTAAAATGAAGTAAACTTCACTAAAGCTCTCCGTGGCCATTTCATTTGTCGCCGAGAAAACAATCCGATTACACGACATTTGAAAAATGGCAAAAAGGAGGGAAAATTCAAAAGGTGGGGTTGAGATGGGAAGTTAGTGCCTGAGGGGATCGAAGTCACGATAGCTCAAGTGGTAGAGTAACGGCGTATCAAGTGAAGGTCGTGGGTTCGAATCCCACTCATGACACTGACTTTTTTATCTCAACTTAAAACCTTAATTAATTGAATGTTATTAATTGGTCAAGCGGACCACGAAAAATAGTGAATCTAAACCAGATTCTTCAAACAAGAGAACTTCAGTGGTTACAGATATGATTAAGATCTTACATATTTTTGAGGGCCACCGTGATACCCTCCTAAACTAAATTTAATATTAACAAACTGAAGTCTGTTTTTAGAATAAAACAATTTTATACAACTGAATGCATTATTCTACAATTACATACCAGCAATATGATGATCTCGTTCAGGACTTGGCTCGTGCATGGTTGTAAATACTGCATCTGGTATGTGTATTCTGTCCAGTTCATAAAATTCAGTACCATCAACGGTGATCAGGGTGTTGCTTTTACCTGTAACTGTGAAAAACAGGCCGCATTTTCCCCATTGGACGCAATTGTTGGACAATGTGTGTTTTTTCACAGTACGATCATTTGTCCAACTGGTTATGGGTGTGAGAACATCATCCAGCATGCATTCAGCTTGTGGAGACATATCATAAGCATAAATATCACCCAGGCAGTCCATTATCAAAAGTCTTAAAAAAAAAAAAATCTTTTATACATTTAATAACAATCTCAATTTTTTATTAAATACCTGTTATGGAGTATCGTTGCATCCTCGATTCCATATAAGTTCCTTATGGAATGTTGGGTGTACTGAAAGCTCGTACCTATCATATATTTCATGGATTTTAAGAATTTAGTGGTGTTTATAATACCAGATCGACGAACCTCTAAATATTTGATAATGTCTGTCATTTTGTTTACTAACTGCAAAAGATTCAAAGGATAAAAACACAAATAGATGACTTTTAAATAAAAACAATATTTAAACAAAAATGATTCATTGACAGAAAACAAAACTAGCATGGTAAACCTACTGTTTTGCTTTGTGTTCAAATATTTTGCCAATGATTCATTGTTGATTTCTGGTTTTTCTGATTATTTATTCTTCATTAGCCATATTTCATCCAGCAAAGAACCTTGGTGTACAAGTGTACTTGGTCAAACAACCATTCCACCAAATGGTAATTGAAGACATAGCCGGTCCCCCTTGTTTCTTATATTCAATACATCAAACCAAAACAAATTGTTATCAATAAAAAGCACAATACGGAACTCACTGCCTTATTTTTGAACCATTGTCATATAAGATGGCATGCAGAATTCTGTGCACATGCAAACTTTGGCCCAAAAGCAAGTGGTCAGGAGCTTTTCTCCTGGCCGAGTGGCACGGCAATCTTTCCCACATAATATTGTTTATAGCTATTTTAGTATTAGGTCGTCAGGATGTAAGGATACCTAGCTTTGCCTTCCTCACATCTAAAAAAACACAAATCCCTATCCATTGGAGGTGCAAAGCAATTTTTAGACAGTGGGAAGATAGAAAACTATTTATGATAGACATGACAGGCAAATTATTGATATTGGGTAAGCCCCAGATGGTTAGGGAAGCAAACCCACTACTTAAGAAGGCGAAATGCCAAAATGCAGCTGAGAGACCAAATCAGCAAGGATATGCAGACCAAGGTAATAGCCAAAATACAAGTTCATCACCCCCTCCCAAGGCCACAGGAAGAAATAAAAAAAACATTATCAACAAAAAGAATAATAGAGAACTTGCTGCCTTACTTTGGAACCAATGTCATATAAGGTGGCATGCCAAATTTTGTGACATTCTCTACACATGCAAGCAGACTTTGGCCCAAAAGTAAGTGGTTTAATTTCTTATAAGGTATCATATCTTCTAAATGTTTATGGCTAATTTAGTGTCTGGCGGTTGGATCACCCCTCAAATCAAGAGGTAGGGACCCAGCTTTCCCTTCTTCAAACTTATGTGGCATGCCACTAAACATGTAGAATTATATCCAATCATGTGATAAGCGAATTTTAGAGGGAGTGTTAAGTCAGGGGAAAATATTTATCATAGACATTACAGGTAAAATTATTGATAGTGGATAGTTAGGGAAACAAACCCGCCACTGAAGAAGGCAAAAAGCAGAAGCACAGCTGACAAATGAATGTAAGTATGAAAATACAGGTTCATCACCCGGCAGATTGCAAAAGGAAATCTTACACGAAAAGCAACTATGTAAAAGCTGCATATCAACAAAAAGCATAATGTGTAACCCTCTGCCTTATTTTGGAAACATTGTCATATAAGGTGGCATGTCAACTTTCACGACATTCTCTGAACATGCATGCAGACTTTGGCCCCAAATGTAAGTGGTTTAAGTTCTTCTAAGGCCATCTAAATTTTTATAGCTATTTTAGCAAAAGTGGATTGGATCATGAGGTCAAGTCGTAAGAATACCCAGCTTTGCCTTCCTCAGACATTAGGCAGTTCAAGGTAAGGATCAAAACTCAGTTATTTCACCCCGCAGTCATAATGACATTTTGCAAAAAAACTACTAATTAAAAGCCATATTATCAACAAAAAGCATAATAAAGAACCCAGCAACTTCCTGCATTGCTTGGGAGCCATTATTGTATAAGATGGCACGCCGAATTCTGCGGATGTGCAGACTTTGGCCCAAAAGTAAGTGGTTCAAGTTCTCATAAGGCATCTTCTAAATTTGCCCTTGATTCTCAGGTGCTTCTCTCTCGGTTGAGTAGCCCAGCAGGCTTTCTTTTATAATTTTATTTATGGCATCAGTTGGATACTTTTTTTAATTAATTAATTTTTTTTCAAACGGATCAAAAACCTATTTCTTAAAAAAAGTATACAAAAGTAAGGAGAGAAAACATGTATATATAATACAATGCTTATAACTAACTCAACAGTAATAAAGAATAAAACACTATACTATGGATAATGAAAACAGACAATAAAATCCTTATAAATAAAATAACATAAAGATGTAATTAAACACCCTGTCTATATAATTATAATAACTTGGAATAATACAAAAAATATATAAAAATAATTTAACAAAGCATTATAACTGCATATATAGTACATTTTTAGCTTTTTTTTTTTTAACTAAATACAATTATATGCTTTTATTTTAATGAGGAAACAGAAGTATTAAATAAATCAACAGTATTGCATATGTTGTTACATTTTATCATCATACGATGCATCGGGAAGTGTAGTGAAAAATTTGTTCCTTTATATTCAATAAAAAATATTTTCTGATTTCTGAGGTGGAGGTACATAAAATCAGAGTTTACCAAGGATTTCTGGGGAAGCTATGCAATTATTAATTAATTTGAAAATAAAAATAATCTCAAAATATTATCTTCTACATCTAAGATCAAAATATTGAAGTAAAGTTTAATGGGAGCATGAGAGGATTTATCATTGTGGCAGTTTAATTTGAAATATAATGTAAGAAGGAATTTATTTTGAACGGTTTGAAGACGTGTGTAGAATTATGTGTAGTGGTCTGATTGGCCAAATTACTTCTTTCAATTAATTATTCTTTGTATGTAAGGTCATGGTTGAAATGAAAAAGTTAGTGTAACAAGCAGGATTCGAACCGAAGGTTGTGGGTTCAAATCCTGCTTGTGACACTAACTTTTTCATTTCAACCAATTCCTTACACACAAAGCTTAATTAATTGAAAGTACTAACTTTTTCATTTCAACCAATTCCTTACACACAAAGCTTAATTAATTGAAAGTCTGAAGAAATTTTATGAGTGTAGTAGTGCGGATTTCAGATGATTGAGGCATATTCAAGAACAGGTCAAATAAGTGAATTATAGAGATGGACATAGGAAGAAGGATTTTTGAAATAATATAATGATGAAGGATTTTGAACTGATGATGAAGCCAAGCATTTTAAAGGAGCGATTTTTGATTTCTTCAAGAGTTCAAATCAGGACGATACCCAGCTTCGTTTTCCTAAAACCTACATAACACATCAAGGATCATGGCCAAAGAGGTGGTCAGAGATTTGGGGATGGTTAGGGAGATTTGTACAATTGGCATTAAAGGCAAATTATTGGTATTGGGTACACTCAGTAGCCAACCCACCACTGAATAAGGCGAAATACGCATAAACCGGACTCACCACCTTTTACAACTCAACAATAAATCTCACTATTTAAGTCTCACATGTTGGACAATGCATACGGTGAGTGCTGGCATTAAGGATTAGTTGTCCGAGGGTGTCACAGTTAAGAGATTAATGAAGAGAATACACAACACCAAAAAAATTTAAGCTTAGACATGAAGTTGATGCTATATTTATACAATATAAAGCATATTATCAAGTAAAAACTTTCATACGTTCCTATATTTGCATTCTACAGAAAGTTTTTTCATTATGACTGAATTATCCAATACCTGAATTTAAATATTCTTCAATTTATTTTTCCTTTTATTCTATTTTTCATAGTTGCCGATCCTTTGAAATGCAAAAAATGGATAAGTCTACAGTCCCATAATCAGTGCTGGGATCTTGGGGCTGGTCAGCAGGTCGGTGAAAACAAACAGCAATAATCAACAAAAACAACCCGTTGCTACAAGAGGCATGGTATCTAGCTTAATGCCCGTTTCGAAGGCAGAGGGGAAAAGTGCATCACGATATTGGTTAACTGTGTCCACACAAAAAATAATAATAATAATATTAATAGAGCAATTTTATGTCTTGGAGGAAAAATAAAATAAAATAAAAACGTAAAATACAAAGGTTTAAAATTTAAACATTTGTTAGCTGCATGAAACATGTTTCTAAAATTTTGGTGACAACTCAAGCCAATAACAAAGCTGAGCGAATTCGGCTTTTTATTATTATTATTAACGATAACTTTTTGTTCATAAACAATACATTGAATCATTGAAATATCACAAAAGTTAGCGAACACATTTGTACAACCTAATCAACCAAACAATTTTCCAGGTGTATATTTACTGTCTTGTTTGAGGAACAAAATAAAAAGATTGGCAGCTGAGGTAATAGAAAATAACAGCATAGAAACTTGTAATGATCTAAAATAAACACATTATTAGAAGGATATGCAGATAAGAGCATCACTTTTCAAATCGAAATGTCTAGGCTAACTCAACAATGCGAAAACTCATGTCAAGTCTATCAAAGAGTTCAAAATCTTTCAGATAGTATTTTTAAACTTATCTCATCTGATATATTTTGATGCAACAGCATAGTGCTCTATTACTGTTGTAAGGGCCTCGAATAGTCTTCCTTTGGCAGTATACTCTGGGCCCTCCATCTCTTCTGCTGAAAGTCAAAAGTTTTTTTTTTTTTTTTTTTAATTAAATTAAAGACTGTCAACCATTTAGGTCATATTCACCTTGACATGAACAATATTTTTTCTTTATAATTAAGATAGTATGCTCGAGTCAAAGAGCAACCACCAGCAAACGTGGAGTCCACCCCAGTGGACCACTCATTCACAGCAGCAGCTTCTCTTGTACTAATGAAATTATTTCTTTTTTGAGCTAGTGTGCATATAGTGCTCGAGACTGAGGCATGTGCATGTTCTAGTTATCATACGAGTCTGGGGTCCCTTAAATCCTTTAACCCCAGGCACTCTCACCTTCTCCCAACATGACCTCCTATTTTTTTGTGAAAAAACAAAAATGAAACTATTCATACTTTGTTTAATAAATTTGCTGATTGTAAAAAATTATTTTTTTTCTATATTCCATAAATTCCTTTGAACATAGACTCAGTCCCAGCACTAAATGTTACAGTCCTTACAGTCCGTGACAATGATGAGATTGAGTCGATGTTCAAAGTAATTTGAAACCATTTATTATATTAATGATCTTCGTGATGCTTTAGAGTTTGGAATTTGCTGTTTTAGTGTAATAAAGAGCCTTCTTTATTCTGATGATGTAGTCATTCTGGCCGCCTCTTCTCCTGTCTTGCAAAGAAACATTGACCAATGAAACCTGACAGTAAGTTTAAATAAATCCAAAATCCTAGTTTTTCATAAAGGAGGCAGGATGACGAATAGGGAGCACTGGTTCTTTGGCGGCAGACATGTGAGTCAGCAAAATTATCTCGGTGTGCTCTTCACCCTCAAACTCTCTATAATACCTCACCTCAAAAAGAAAATTTTTACAGCGAAATATGCAATCAATTCAGACTGGTCTAACCTTCTTCTATTCCACCTATTGCTAATTTCAATGTTTTTAAGGCAGAGTATTGCTCGATGGTTTGCTATGCTTCCCAGGTTTGAGGGTATCAGTTAGAAAATAAATCAGTCAGGTTAGAACTAGTTGAATCTTTTCAGCGTTTTTTTTTATTTATAAATTTTTTCACCTCCCGAATTTCACACCTAACTACATGTTATACCTAGAAACATCAGGTGACCTTTTGTTTGTTTACACCTTCAAACCCCACCTTTCATATCTAAGCGGACACTCTCACTGCCTGACTATAGACTCCTCAAAATTTTGGCAATTGAAATAATTAATGCTAATTTATCGTGGTTTAAGGCACTCAATTCTCTAGCCCAAGATCCTAATATTAACTATCTGACATTTTGACTTTTGAACGTTGTACCGAACGTTCTACAAAGAACTTGATCATTCAAAGAGATTGTTCAACTTGTCCAATAATCATCTAAAGTTTTCCTCTATCAATTTAAGCTGGTTCTTCAAACTCAGGTGCCAACTTATCTACTTAATTACTCTCCTCTGAGAAATGGTTCTGCTGAGTGCTGCTCACTGTGTAATTCCTGACCAAGGGAAAACCTCTTCCATTTTTTAGCTGAGCTTCCCTTTCTCTCGGAGTGTCAAGGTCTCTTTTTGGGAACTACTAGAGTTTTGAGACTGCGTTTGATCGCAAAACCTAATTCTCCAGATTGTTCAGACCTGGTTGGGTTTGCAAAGAGTGCACTGGAGTATCGCAGAGTGCTCATGGAGCGGTTTAATTTTATATTGAGACGCTCTAACAGTTTTAATCTAATTTAATTTTGTTTACTTAATTTTTGTTAATAACTTTGTATGTGAATATTTATTATCTTCTACTCAATTCTCAGCCGACCACCACCTCCAGCAGACAGTTTAATAATCAGTATAAGAACTGTTTTATTTTTATTTCAATTATACTTCCTTAAGTATCTAAATGTATTTTCTTTTTTTTAAATAATTTTTTTTTTCATTCATTCCTTAAAAACTTAATTATATCAATTTGTAGACATCTTTAATATTATTTTGCCCTGTTGATGATATATTATAATTTATTATGTTTGCCCATAATTCTTCCCATTTTTAATATATTTTGTTTTTGATTTATGAAGTAATATAGGTTTATAATTCTCCATTCTTCCTTTCCATACTCTTATCCCTCCCCCATCCCTTTCTTCTCAAATTTTTCCACATAGTCAGAAGGTGTTCACTTGTTCACTTTATCACATGACAGGTATTACATTTTAGACTTATATTAAATACCTATATTATTTTATATCAAATGCTTTTCATTTTATTATTCTTTTTATATATATTATCTGTTAAATATGTATATATTTTTCTACATTTATTATTACTTGGTCAACGTTAATAACCTTAAACAGTGATACAATAAAAGGACTAAGTCTTCTCTATTTTGGTTTTATTTGTCACATATGTAATTTTGACCAAATAAATTCACTCAAAGACAAAAAACACAACATTAATAACTTGTTGTTTATCTTTATAGACCTAGTACTAACCCTTTTACACTCTTTAGATTAAAAATTCCAGTTCAA